ACAAATATTATAAAATTATTTAATGGCCGTATAGTTTTAGATTCTTAAATTTTCTACTTCTTATTTATTGATCTTCATCCAGAACGGTATATAAACTCATCCAAAATTCTATTGATTCCTTTTATTCGTTGTTTTTTTCTTTGAGCTGCTTTTAATAGGTTTTTTGACGACTTATTTTGTGCTTTATTCTTTTGGCTATCGCGAAATTGTATTATTCGGAAGCCTTTTTTTTTCCTTTAAAATTCGCCATTAATTTTCCGAAATCTTCTAAACTGGCTTCTATTTGTAAGAGAAAATGGTTATGAAAGAGTTCATCCTGGCTGAGCCATTGAAATAATCCTAATATTTTATACCTATCTAGATTTTTGTATGAACGCCTCAGGGAATTGAAATATTGTAAAAAAGCAAAAATAAAGTAAAATTCAAAAGACTATAAAGTTGCAATTTTCTACCATGGAAAATTTTAAGAAAATCTTACTGTACTATCTTACTATGTTAATCTTACTACTTCAAGGGTAGAAAAAAAAAGTTCATTTATTTTATTTGGAAATCATCGTTTTAACCAGTTTAAACTTTAATTTAAACTGCAATTTATCGGAAAAAAATTTTTAGTTCAATCAGCCTTCGATGAGAAATATTATTTCGAAGCTCTTTAGGAAATAAATAATTGAAGAGATATTTATAAAGAAACGCTATCTGAAGTGATCACATTGTTATCTTAGTTGCTTGCCTTTTTGGATTCGCGAAATCCTGTTTCACGCATATTTAAACAGACAAGCTAAAATAGTAAAACAACATGAAGCTGATTTCATTTAGTATTAATATTAGAATCACTTTATACAGTGGAGTATCACTTTATATAGTTGTAATTTGATATCATTCAGTCTTCTAACTGCTTTCACTATTATTGCTTGGGGTTGCTCCGCTGGCTAGAAGAGTAAGACGTCTCCAAGCTGCGTGATCTGATGCTATCGTCGACAGTAAACCATTCCTTTCTCCATCGTCTATGTCTTTCGTCATATATCCTTTGGATCACCTATACGTCAAAATTTTCCCTGATTGTATCAATCCCGGTTTTGATTGGAGCACCTTTATTTTGACGTCAATCATCACAGGGTTTAGCAAGTAACGAAATAAATATCAACTCTTGTGGTGGGGGATGAAAAACGTGCCCTAAACTACGAAGGCGACGCTCTGTGATGGTACTATTAATGCAAGTGGTATTTGAAGGTGATGAGACCATGTGATATCTTATATTTATTTATTTATTGAAACCAGCCAAGCAGGGCGACAACGCCATGTGCTTGCATTAATAATAACAGTTAAAATAATAGAAAAAGAAAATACAAAAAAAAATAACATACACAAAATTAATTATAAAACAATATGACAAAAATTAACAATTTAAAGAGGAAATTACAGATCAATATAATATAGTACAATTCGAAGTAACATATATAACCCGAAAATAAAATCGAGATTTCTCACTTCCTGCAGTTCTTGCCTGGTGTAAACTCTTCTCTTTTTTTTTTTAAATAATATCGTAAATGATATTATCTAGTTTTTTTTAAAGACAGCTAAAGATGACGCACAAGCCACATCGTTCGGTAATTTGTTCCAGCAGTAAATAGTACGAATAAAGAAGTCATAGAAGAATAAAGAAGAATGAGTCCTTAGTTTAGTTTTTCATATAGGTTTTAGTAATTTTAAGCCATTAGTTCTTGTTGGATTCAAATTTAGTCTAAAGTTATAATATTTCGAGCAATCTAGTTTAACATAACCATACAGAATCTTATATGTGTAAATTAAATCTTATTTAATTCTACGAACTGAGTGAGAATCCATGTTGTAGAAGTGTTCTTTTATAATTAAAATTATAATTTTTATTAGGAGAGAGGCGTCTTAGAAAATATTTTTGGAGTCCTTCAATTATTTTACCTGTTTTGCGATGTCTAGGGGAGTAACATATAGTATTGTAGTCAAGAAGAGGCCGAACGAATGCTTTGTATAATTTCAGTTTTGTTCTTAAACGAACGAAAAATAAAATTTAGTATCCTTGAGGATTTCTTTACTATGGTTCTGCAGTGAAGATCGAAATCGAGATTTTCATCCATGATTATTCCAAGATCGGAGATGTGTGAGACTCTATTGATTAAATCACCATTTATAAAAAGGTTAGAAAGATCGAATCCTTTAGAGTTGATGTGAAGAACGCTACATTTTTGAAAGGAAAGGGTAATATTCGCTCGACGGATCCGTAATATGTACTTTATACGAGAGTGGTCAAAGGCAGGTAATATCGTCCTCTCATTGGCCATATCTCAGAGCCATATAGCACGGTTATTTCACGACGGCTCCATAAAGATTTCGTTAACCAGGAGAACGCATTTCTAGCTGCCGTGATCCTATAATATCGTCTTTTGCCTTACCATTTGGTATTAGAGTGGACCCAAGGTTTTTAAAATCGGTCACTTCCTCAACCGGAAATGAATTTATAAAAAGAGGCATTTTATCAGCTTCTTGCACATAAGACGAAAAGACTTTCGTTTTGTTTACATTGATTCTTTACATTGAGTCCGATTTTTGCTGCAGTTTCTGAAATATTATTTAGTACTACTTGCGTTTCGTCATAACTATCATCAAAAAGAACTACATCGTCAGCGTATTATCCAGGCTGTCGCATAGTTGAATACTGTAGGGGAAAGGACGCAGCCTTAACGACACCAGTTCTTATTTCGAAGGAGTTTGTTAGCTCCCCATATACACAGATCTGCGCCGACGTATCATAAAATGCCTTTATGAGCCGAATGATCTTCTCTAGAACACCGATGCGTTCTATCACCATCCAAAGCGCCGCTCTATCAATTGATCAAAGGCAGCAGCAAAATCGATGAAACACGTGACAGATATCTGCTATACAGTGCTCTAGATTGATTTGTACAAATCTTGAGTAAAGTGGTATCCATTATCCAATCTAACACATAGTTGAATACTGTAAAGGGAAGGATGCAGCCAAGGCTGGCTTGACGAACATCAGTTCTTATTTCGGAGTCTGTCAATTCCAATAACACGATGTTTACATGATGTTTAAAAAGAGTGCAGAATGATCGATCTGCTTACCGTAATATCAGTAATCGTCCTGACGTTCCACGCTGCTACGATTAACGCCTCGGCCACGCGTGCTGAGATCGATGTCCTTTAACGGATTTCGAGCAATTCTCTATCCCGAGACTTATTCTCAAGCCTTGGGATCGTTTTGCTATGCCCCGATTGCATATTTATCGCATATACCAACGAGCTGGAGATATTATTAGATGCATTAAGAGCAGAGTCGCTTGCGGACAGAGTTACAAGTGGTTCCCCAGCAACCATCAGGCTTTTGAAACCATGATTTACTCCAGGTTTACTCCAATCTTTTGAGTAAAAGATAGAGAAAAAAGGAGAAAAAAATAAAATGGAAAATAAGAACAAAAATAAAGTGAAAAACGATAAATTAAAAAAACTAAATCCGTTTTTCATTTTTCATAATTTTATTATTTTCATTTTGTTTAAATTTCGTATACATTACATATTTCACATATCGCATACAGTTTATATAATTTATTATAGAATTTGTTTATTTCATGATTACAATAATAAAAAGAAGTTGGGTCTTAAAACGAAAATAAGTTTCCTATAAAATTTAGGCCGTAACGGTGTTATTGGTATTTTGTTGTGTTGTTTATTTCTTTTGTGGTGGGTGATGGAGATTCATCGTAAATTCACATTTGATAATCCAGAAGATAGTTATTGGAACGCGAATGGTCCCGCAAATTCTTCATTATTCGATGAAGTACCATTCAACATTAATGCGGTATATATATTAATGGAATTAATTTTATGGATGATTTTCAGTCAAATGATATCGCTCGGAAGAGGTCATTTGTTCGCATGTAGTTTCCTTGTTCCTCTCTCAGCTCCTTTGCTCCCCTTTCTTCTTTCATTTTTCTTCCTCCTGCACACTGCTTCCGGCTGTTCGGTTTTCCTCAACAACAGTTTGTCTGAATGTGGGAGTCTTTTTATTTTTTTCTCCTGCTTTACTATTTTTTCGCCAACAAACTACTGTAATTTGTAATATCAATTCATTATCTTTGTATTCTTCTGCCTATTCTCCTCATGGATCCTGAAAAAGTTGGGAACATTGCCCTCATAATCGAAAAGTTTTTTCTTCTTTTCTTTAGCCATTAGCTCAAATCTGCATTCTGCAGTGGTTTTTTGTTTACATCCCATACTCATTTGAATACATTTTGGCTTATTCATAAATGTTTAAAAAAAAATTTGGTTATTTCTGATATTCTTTTGTTTTAATAGTTTAAGTCATTATAAATCTTTGTCATAATGACAAAGGTTATTATTTTATATTTTTTGAAAAAGTATCAATAACTTTCACAGTACGGGATACACAGATTTTCTCATATTCTTAGAGTGATCCATCATCAGATTCTCGACTGACTCCCTGATACGAAAAGCTGCCACAGGAGATGAAAATTCCTTCGTAGGAAGTTTAAAAATTTCGAAAACAATAACCGAAAGGCTTTTATTCCACATTCTTTAACGAATTTTCATTGAACTGCGCTCATTTCACTTTCACTTATTTCTTATGCGTTTTTAAATGGAAGACTTCTGCATTAAACCGTCGCTCGCATGAGTATGTTATAACAGTAGTCTGTTGGCTACAAATGTCACGCTTGCGTTGGCAACTTGAGATCATCCTCATCTAATGTTAAGATATTGGCTAAAATTAGAAAACACAAGAATTTTTATAGTTTCAAGGATGTAAAATATGTATTTTTAAGGTGTTTTTTATTAATAGGCTGCTGCGAGGAACGCATTAGAGGATTTGTTCGAGAGTCAAGTTCGGTTCAAAAATGAAAAAGTGGCAAGTGAAGATGGCAGCATTTATCGTGATGATTATGGGTTTGTTATATTTTATTATTTATTATTTACTTTTAGAATTTAGCTAGAATTATCGTATTTTTCGAATTTTCGTATATAAGCAATGATCTATATTCTTTCGAAATAATTCATTTATAGTCTTTTTTTTAAAGGCACACTTTAACCAATGATCACATTTCATTAAAGCTGAAAGTTTCGGAGCAGGTTTATATTTTGAATTATTTTTTCCATGAACTTGGTTTAAAAGTTTGTTTATTTAATTCATTTTTGAATTTCATTCCTTTTAATAGCATTATAAATTCTATCACAACTTATTTTTATTATATTTTTAAATTTTTACGAAATTTATTTTAAATTGTTATTTCTATTGATAAATTTTCTAGGAGACCGAAATTCCTTCAGTAACTCATATCAAAGCTATACCATCTGCTGCTTCTATCGTTTCGGAGAGTAGTGCTGGATCATTTTCTAGTGAACCGACCACACAGCTGGACTACTTGAGACTTAAGAGTGAACATCGCAAGTTACAGAAACATCTCGAGGTTTTTTTAATAAATTTTTCGCAAAAATTTATTAGTTTATTCATTTTATTTTACTGTTATCTTACTGATTTATGTCAAACGTTCAGTATGTTCGACATGAAAGATATCGGCCAGCAGAACCTAGTGTAACTGTTCGACGCCTGATATGCGGTGAGCCTGTATCGTTTGATTTATACAGAAGCAAGGAGGATAAGATGGATTTGTTGGATGCAGCTGTTGATTCTCTTGACGGCAATGCCATTATCGCAGTTAGCGATTTCTAAGATTTCTAATGTTTTCGCGCTTCTAATGATATATTCCAAATTTTTAGGCAATTGCAGTGCGAAGCACTAATGATATCAGTTTATTTTGTATATTTTTGCACTAGTTCCAGTTGATGTTTCTTTTTCGTTAATTTAAGATTCAATTATAATTGCCATGCTAAAATTTTCTTCATACATGTCATCGAATTAATCCATCAAATTTCAAGAATTTTGCCCTTATACAAATTTTTAGGTTGTTTTATTTCTTCAGAGGACATTATCTGAACGTTTGTTTCGCGAAATTTTGTTGGAAAATGTTGTTGCAACTACACATTATTTATCATATCTAAAGCAAATCAAGGATTATAACCAAATTATTATTACATTGATGTTTGTGTCCAATTCTCAAATTTGTTTTGTTCATCAATTTATTATTGATTATTGCAAAGTTTTATATAGAAAATCATATATATTAGATATTCGAATTGTTTTAATGCTCAAAAACCTTTTTGCTTAAATCGGAGACGACAGTCATATAACTGTTAATTATCGTATTAATTATCCTATAAGGTTATGACGATGTTGCTCAGAGCCTATGCAATATAATATGAAAAATAAAGACGATTGCAAGTTTGTATGGCATAAAATGCCGAATTGCTTATAAATCCTTATATGCTTGAGAGATTTTCTCTGAATTGTCTTTTGAGAGATAAAGCAATCTTTATTTAGGCTACAAGAAACATTTTTATTAAGCTCATTTCGCAAATAGAGTGTCGAAGAACCGATGAGCTGGTGAAATTCCAGCGAACCGGTCTTGACAAAATATCTTCACCCGGAGCAAGTTGAATTTGTTCACTGTTGCCGAGTGTTGTGGTAATTCGATAAAGGAAATAAAATTTATGTTTTATTGTTTTATTATTATTTAATCTTTTATTTTATTTAATTTTTTTTCCAAAGTTTCTGTTGGCATTTAAATTATCAGTAAAATTAAGCGAAATAGATTATTTAGCGCTTAATAGTTATAATTGGTAAGAGGTTTTCTTATCCGTATTATTGTATGGTCATTTTCAGGTCGCTTGGTCGTTATATAGAGGCATCGATGCTGGAGTTATCTATAGCTTGCAATCAAAAGATTTCTGAAGATCGTATTCAGTGCTTGAAATGCTGTTTTTCGAAATTTATTCAATCACCCACAGAACATGAGTCACATGAGGCGAAACTTCTGAGCGAACATATTAGTTTGCTTGAAAGACAGATCGCTATCGATGTAAATGTTTTGTTTGTTCTTTTATTTATTTACTTTTATAATTGATGTTGGATTTTTTCATTTTTAATTTTATAAATTCGTTTATTCGTTTAGAAAAATCATGCCGGGCAATAGTTATGCACTTTGCATAAAATCAACACAATACAGTCTTGCAAAAAAACTAAAACAGTTGAAGTGGATTGAAGGTTTATATGAAGTGATATAATGTGTAACATAGTAATATGGGTCTTTTTTGCATTTTTATGCTGATGATGCATTTAATGTTTCTTTTAATAGTCTTTTTCCAGGCAAATGACGAAATGGAATGTAGGGAAGACAAAGAAGAAAAATTTGAAGAATTTCGGAAAATCGCATCATCGTTAATTCAACAACCATTACTTACTACTATATATTACTGTTGCTTTTATCACTATGATTTGGCCGTGGTATTTATTGAATTGTTTCCTCATTGTTTATTAATTTGTAGCCCTATTTTCTTACTCAATTTTTGGAACTTTAAAATTTTCTGCAAACAAGCTAAATCTGTGAGTTTTGAAATTTTAAAACAAGAGATCAAAATGAATTATACAATGAGAGAGTCCTCACCATTACTGGTTAAACTCGCTTCACGGGCTTTTCACACTGAGCAATATGCCAAAGAGTCCCTTGGCGATAGTAATACAGGTGAATCTCCAGCATCACACGGTTTTTTGTACAGATTTACTTCTTCGCGGAAACTTCAGCATCGGCGCTCCCAGTCAAGCAACACTGAGCCCTGCTGTGGATCCACCTTTAACTCTCCACAAATGACTTTATATTGAAAGGGTTTGCTCTTAATGCGCATGATATCCCCATACTGTTGATATGTGCGATAAGTATATAATGGGACATAGTAAAATAATCCCAAGGCTTGAGAATACAATGTTCTCTCAGGATAATTGCTCGAAATCTGTTGAGGGAAATGGCCCGCTGTACACGCGAATGTTAGCCGTAGCAGCGTGGTATATCAGGACATCTTATGGACGTTGCAAGCCAGGTGATCACTGATCACCGTTTTTAGCATCTCGTGGATATAACATTTAGAGGGTGATGGAATGTGATGGTCTTACAAAAGAAATCATTCGACTTATAAAGGCTTTTTATCAGCATTCGTAGGAACAGGCTTGTGTTTATGGAGAATTGACAGGCTCTTTCGTTATAGGGACTGGCGTCAAATCTGCATCCTTTCCCATGCAATATTGTATTATGCGATGAACTGTACTACAATGGACATCGCTTGTCAATCCCTAAGAGATGTACAAATTGGTCCAGAGCATAGATAGATAGATCTTGAATACTCTAATGATGTAATGTAGTCCTTTTTGTCGGCGAAATGCAAATAATGATAAATAATCTATTGACAACTGCAGCGGAAGTCGAATTCATGTTCAATGTAGTTTATATACTAGAAACTTATAAAATACCTATTTTCATCAATTCATTGCATATTTAAGTTTCAGTCTTTAAATATTTTGGATCCCTAATTCGAGATGACCAAACGAAAGATGAAATTATAACCTGGATAACGGTGGCTAGAAATGCGTGTTAGCGAAATTTTTATAGATATGTTTTACTGGTTCGGATAAAATCAAGCATGGATTGCATTCACCTTCGCTGAAATCGCCACGTGCGTTAAAAGTACCATCACAGACCGTCGCTTTCGTTGATTAGGGCGTATTCTTCATCATTCACCATAAGACTCATAATTATTACACCTATTTCATTACTTTGCTAAAATTTATGATGGATTGCGTCAAAATTGGAATGGGCCAATCATGGCCTGGCCTGATACAGTCAGGAAAGATTTTGGATGTATAGGAGGATCAGCGATATATGGACGATGGAAAAAGGAATGGAATGAAAAAGGAATGTTATTGTTAGCGATGGCGTCGGACGGATCGAATAGCTAAGGATATTCTTGTAGCCAGCTTAACCAACCATGGAGAGAGCAGTTAAAAGAATATAGCGATGATCCATCTCAAATTTTTTAATTATTTTACTTTTTAAATTTTATTTCATTTATACTTATTTGTCTTGTCCATCATTTTCATCGTTTTTTAAAGAAAATCCATTTTTTTTTCATTTAGAACTCATTCGCAAGTCCTCTTTCATTGAAAGAAGTATTCCAAGTTACCGAGAAACAATATGTGTGGATGGCTGTTTCTGCTTTAAGTGCACTAAGAAGGTGTATATTACAACTAGTAACAAAAGTTACATCTAACTTTGATTCCTAAACGGAGATGCAGTTGAATATGTGAACACTGGCAAATATTGAAAACTTGGGTCTTGTGATAAGCCTTTTCTGTGGTAATAAGAAAATGAAAGCCATTCCATTTCCCATTTGCTGCAAACTACTGATTTGTCGTTTTAATTAAAAAAGAAATTTTAAGAATAAATAGTATTTTAAGAGTTTGAGAATGGACAGTATTTGAGAAAAAAAAGGGGATAGCGAGTGCAGTTTGATGGCAGCGATGCAGGAAGTTTTTCGGCCAGCTATTCAGTACCTAACAAAAATTCATTGACTAATGTGGCAAATTATTTATGTATATTTCTTCTTCTGGAATTCTTTGAATCTTCTTTACTGAGTCACATTCATTGCAGGTGGTTTGATATTGAAAGGATTTTAACTGAAAAAAGGTCATTATCTGATAGCAAGATAATTTGTCCTTTTGGTTGGAATCATCTGTTTGCAATAATTTTGCAAAACGGAGAACCCCCAAAAGAGGTTTCTTTTTTTACATTAGATGGTTTTTCATTTTTTTCGTAATATTTCAGCTGGGTTCTTTTTAACCGATATGAGATTGTCATAATTTAGAGATAATAAAGTGAGTAATTTTGATAATAGATATTAATGAATTTTGGAAGAGAGAGATTGAGATAGGAACCACTATTTCCGTAATTTGAGAAATCTTTTTTTTCTTAAAATTTTATATTTTGATGTATTACAAATCTTTTCCTTACTTTATTTGAAGTTTTATTTGAATTGAAAATTTGGATTTTTATTTTGTTTTTGAAATTTTGCATTGGCATTAATTTTTTAATCAGGTAAAATTTTGAAAAAATTTGTTTTAAGTAGAATGAATATTTTAAATAATTCTTTCTTCAGATGTTCTTTCTTTAGATACTGTGCAAACTTCTGCGTGCCATACCGAGTTTAAAGGAGCGTCGGCAGTTTGCCGAACTTTTCGTCGGTGGCAGCGATGTAGTAATCGAATGTTTGCTGGCACAAAAGGATCGGATCAATCTTAAAAATTTCACAGCGAAATTATCACCACATACGGCGGAAACTTCGAAAGCTGTTAATGCTGTCAACAACATAGTTTCCTTTTTTTTGTTTTGGATGTCATTTTTGTATATTAAATTGCATACAAACCATACACTTGCTACTTAGAATTGTATTCTTTATTTATTTATTTTTTTTATTTAGAATCTTATTTTTTCAGGCTTATAAGTGGAAGAACTGAGGTTTTATTTTGCAAATGGGACCGATGATAATTTATTGAGTTTTATTAATATTTCTGATATTTTGTTTTTTTGGATTTTACATTAAAATTTTCTATAATATAAAATTGAATATTGGATCATTTTTTTCTCGAAGGCAAGCATAAAGTATAAATAAATAATATAGGAGTTGAGATAAAAACAACAAAAATATGAGGAAAAGTATCACTGATTAGGCAAAGCTTTCATTGATTTAAAAGTACTTGAAGAAATTGATGAAATTACTAGTTTACTTTTAACCAACTAAAATTTTTAAATTTATTTGAAACTCACTGTTGCTTTAAGAGTCAAACCGAATTACTGAAACACCTCAATGATATAAGCATCAGCGTCATCTCTGGAACGGCAGGTAACGCTGGTCCCAATTGAAGACAAATTTCTGAAAGCCAACCTTTTCCGCGCAATGTGATCGTAGGAAATGCGCTAGTTGGATATCGGAAGCAACTGTCCAGCTGTCTGAAAACAACACCAAAGCACGAATGCAAGAAGATCCTAACTACTAGATGCTTTGAAGAAATGTAACAATAGCAGCACAGCGTCATAAGATGGAAGGAATTCTTTGAGACCAAAATTAACAATGCTGCGCCACCTGTTAACCTGGAGACGGCTGACACGTTCGCCAAACCATACGCTTGCGGGCCTCCGATAGAAGAAATATTCTCCGTTATCAATAAGCTGCGGGAGAAAATGGTCTCAAGGCTGAACTTCAAATATTCAAAAGTTGTCCATCGTTTTTCATAACGTAGCTTCAAAAAATGTACTCTCTGGTTTGGAAAAAAGAAATATTACCAGATGACTGGTGCAAAGCAATTCGGCTCTCAATTCTCAAGACAGGACATACTGCGACAACTACCAAGGAATCAGCCTACTAGATATCACAGGGAAAGATTTCGCTTTCTTCCTATTAAGATTTAGACTGATGGTAGTATAACGCGACAGGATGCACCATAACCAAGCAGGATTCAGATGCGGTTGTGCCGATCAGATTGCCACACTAAAAAGGGTGCTAAAACATCATCAGGACGTGTATTTAATCGACTTTGCGGCTGCCTTTGATTCAATTGATAGAGAGGCAGTTTGGAGGGTAATGGAATGCGACGGCGTTCCAGAGATCATTCGATATGTGGAAATGATAGAATCCTTCGAAATAAACTGGTATCCGATAAGGTTGTGTCCTTTTCCCTACAATATTCAGTTATGCAATGGATTAGATGATGGATACCGCTCAAGAGGATGTTCAAATCAGTCCAGAGCATCGTTATCATAGATCTTGAAGGCAGTGATAATCTAGTCCTTTTTGCTGACAGTTATGACGAAATGCAAATAATGCTAATCCGCAACTGCAGCAAACATTGGACTTAGGGTCAATGTAAATAAAACGAAAGACTTCGTCTTATGCAAGGAGCTGATATCATGCCTTTTTTTATAAATTCACTGCCGCTTGGGGAAGTGCCCGATTTTAACCTTAGGCCCACTCTAATACCAAATGGCCAGTCAAAAGAGAATACAGCTCGGACCACGGCAGCAAGAAATACGTTCTCCCGGTTGACGAAACCCTTATGAAGCTGTCGTGAAATTACCATAAAAACGAAAGTCCGCATCTATGTAGCAGTGATTCATTCGACCTTGCTATATGGCTCCGAGACATGGCCAGTGAGAGTGGAGGATATTAAGAAGTTATCTGCCTTTATAGGTCAGTCGAGCGGATAAAATATCACTCATGATCGCATTCATCTTCGTTCAAATACCACTTGCATTAATAATGTTATCACAGAACGTCACCTTCACTGATTAGGGCACGTTCTCCATCGTCCACCACAGAACTTGACGCATATTTCGTTACTTGCTAAGCCGTGGTTAGCATCAAAAGCGAGCTGGGCCAATCAAGACCTAGACTGATACGGTCAGAAAAGATTTCGAATGTGACCAGCGATATATGGGCTTAGACGACCCGCGCCGCCTGGTTTGAATTTTACCCTTTTAGTTGGAGGCAATTTAACCAGTAATGGTGGTAGTTGTTAGAAGAAAGACTATCCGACTCATGAAAGCACTTTACTAATGTAAGTCTATAAAGACCTGTGTATATGGAGAACTGACGAACTTTTTCGAAATAAGGACTGAGTCTGTGTCCTTTCCTCTACAATATTTACCTATACGCGATAGACTGGATAATGGACAACACTCAATGTCCAAAGGGTGTCCAAATCAGTCCTGCGCATCGTATCATAAATCTTGAATGCACTGATGACGTAGTCCTTTTTGCTGACAGTTGACGAAATGCAAATAATGCTAAATACCGTGTCAACAACTGCAGCAAGAACCGGGCTCAAGGCCAATGTAAAATACAATGAAAATTTTTTCGTCTCATATAGAAGATGATGAAATACAATTTCATCAGTTGATAGTAGTATGAGGAAACGAAACCTTTCTTCCATTCCTTCAGTTTAAATGCCAGCGAATACTTTTGAATATTCTATTTTTTAATACAGTTATCATCCTCGCGCATGTTTACTACCAGCTGCTCTTTTCGAATTTAGAAATTTCGTAAATTAATTATATTTCACTCAACTATATAATATCTGAGCAATATTTTTACATAAAAACCCTTGTCCATCATCTTGCAATGTAACGTACCATGATTATCGGAATCACTCGCTCTGCTAAATTATCGTTTCTTATTATATATTTATTTGGCTAATTTTTAATAACAAGCAGAAAACAGGAAAATTTATCATTTACTCAAAATGGATTATTCCGTATTTTCAGAAAAAGAACAATTGACTTAAACTCGTAACAAATTTGAATCATAAAGTGATATTTTGAGATTACAGTAGCTAAATGGAAATGTAAAAAGTAAAGCGATTCCTTAACCATTAAATTTAAGAAAAAAGCAGTAAACTGGAATAGAGACCACGTAAAGATATTTGATAAATGGTTGCCATGTGAGGTTTATACTTATACTTCCATATCTATAGCATTATTTCTTTGCGGTTCTTCTTTTTTAACGATATCGTCAGACGCTTCCTGAAAGATCGTAATGACCAATTCTTTGCAAAAAATACGAAAATAAAATGAAAAGATTTCAGAAAATATAATACTTCTGTTGCCAGCTTTCTGAATAGTCCTTTATATCGCTTTCTTTCTTTCAATCGCAGTTCAGATAATTTATTTTTGCATATCACAACTTGTTGCAAAGCTGCCTGAAAAAATTCTGAACATTCTAAAGATGAAACGATAACAGAAACTGATCAAGACAGAAGTAATCAAACATAAAAAAACTTCGAACATTGAAAAATTACAATTTCGTGGATTAGCTTTATGAAAATTAATTTTAAAACCTTATTGTTTGGTTCAACTTCCAAAAGTTTGTTCAAAAGCTCCAAAGCTTCTGCGATATCATTCTGTACTAAGAGTGCCTGAACTAAGTCGTCATTAGTTCCAATGCTTTGTACTATCAGATAAAACTTAATTAGGAATGGTAAGCGCTGACCGGTAACTGACAGCGTAATCAAACGTCAATTGTTATTCGATTGTCAATGGATTACCTGAGCCTTACGATACAAGGCTTTGACGTTTTTTGTATCCAATTTGAGAACCTCGTCGCACTTTTCGATACATTTAAGAGACTCACCCATTTTTGAATACACAAGAGCACTGAAAAATCACTATAATCTAATTAATAACTCTTTGAAGTATAACCTCATTTCAAAAAAGATCGCCTGAATACACTAATTTCAGTAGTTTCAAATTTTTTTCCAAATTTAATTTCGTAAAGCACTGGAAGTTTTTTAAGGCTGCATTTTTTACATAAGAAACATAAATCACCTGTTAAGATAAGAACCAATCAAAAGTTTAATTCTTTTCGTTTCACTTTCATCAGCAAAAGACTTTTCGTGTTGAAGCAGCTCATTAACACGATCATATTTTGCCAAAGCTAACTTATATTTCATCTGTTCTAGAAATGCCGTTCCGCGCTTCTTAGTTTGGTCTGCGGCTTCCAATTTCTCGTCACCAGTCATTTCCCATGTATTTTTAACCTAAAAAAAATACGAAAAAAGAGACAACCGAAAAAATCAAAATATAATTTATCTTCTTTTGTAATATAACCCACGACATCAATAAGTTTTAACAAATATATCTGCTACAATGCCTAAATCAAAAAAAACCTTTTCGAAACTACGTAGGAACACTGAAAAATCAAGCTCCGCGTTATCTGGCAAATTGTACTCAAGAGGAGCATCTTTGCCATAGGTATAACGAGATCCTCGAAAATGTAGGTGCGACTTTTCACCTCGTTGAAATCTTCGTATGGCTCGATCAATTCCTTCGGGCAGTCCAGCCTGCAATTTAACTTTTTTATCATTCGGTTGAAGAAGCACTATTGTTTGTAACTTATGAAGAATTCCACCAATGAATGCTAAACAAAAAAAGGTGCATAAATACCTCAGTTGCTTCACCAACCGTGAACGAAATCTCTTTGTTCAAAAATACGCGCCCGTTATGAGTACCAGTGACAACAACTTAAAAATCATTTGAATTTGCAAAGATATTGAAACATATTGAAAAATTCCAAAACATTTTAAAAACTGACATTCACCTCCACAAAATATTTCTTAAAATCGTCAAAATCAAAATTTAAAGAAAAACAAAAAAACCCTCGACATGGCTTCCTTCTGTGGGAAACTTGTATTTTTCACCAGGTTCAACAACAGACCGAATAATGCTTCGATCGTGTTCTGGCGATATGTCTTCGCCTTCGAAATCAAGTAGTTCTACCTATATATAAAGTGGAATTAATTATAATGAAGAATTTTAATACAATTTTAACTTGAAATAAATTGATGAATTTAGAAAAAAAAGCAAATCTATTTAAAAGCAAAAGGAAATCTACGAAAAAAATTACCTTGCAACCAAAAGATGCATACGATTAAACTACTTAAAAAAAGAAAAAATGCTTGCTGTTTTCCTGTGATTTTAATAAATAAAAAAAATTGTCGGTTCAAACCTCAAAAATAAGAGTTGCATTCGCAGGAATTTTTGGGGGACTACCAGATTCTCCATACGCATAATCTGCACGACAAGTGAGAACACATTTTTCACCCTTTTTCATTGTTGCAACGCCAACATCCCATCCTTTAATGACCTATAAAGAAAAGAATTCGATATCTTCAACAAAAAAACGACTCTTCACAAGCAAATTCCAAATTCAAAAAATTTAAAATTAAAACATCAAGAGAAGCTAATTCAGCCAAATAGAGTAAATCTAAGCTAAAATCAACTCTTCGTCGATGGAAAATAAGAAAAGGAAATGCAAAATTTAAAAAATGAGTGATTACCTGTCCTTTACCTAATTCAAACTTGAATGGCTCATTTCTATCTCGGCTCGAATCAAATACGTTACCGTCAACAAGACGACCTACATAATGAACAGTGACTGAGTCACCTTTACACGGCTGCGCATCACCAGAACCATTTGTAATAATACTTTTCAGCACTCCGCCATCCTTAAAAATTTTAGACTAAATTTAAAAATACGAATAAAACAATAATACGAAGGGCTTTGTTAACAAAATCCCCTAAGAACATACTTTTAATAGTTTTTCTTTTAATAATTTTTCTAACCATCATTTTCCTATTCCAAACTTTCTAATATAGCCTGACAAGCTCCAATGACTACTAAAGCGACAAATGCTTTTCCTCTTCTTCGTCTACTATAGCCTGACAAGCTCCAATAACTACTGGAGCGACAAATGCTCTTCTTCTTCTTCCAACAGCTCTCATCATTACCGGTTAGGCTGGCTCCAACGGCTACAAAAGACGTCTCCAACCTGCCCGATCCGACGCTACTGCTAGTAGTAATAGAAGCCACTCCTTTTTCCGTCATCTAAGTACATAAATCGCTGATCCCCTTACACGTTAAAAATTTTTCCTGATTGTATCAATCCAGGTCTTGACGGTCCTCCTCGCTTGTGATTCCAACCATCACAAGGTTCAACAAGTAACGAAGTATGCGTCAACTCCTATGGTAGACGACGGACTGCCCTAATCAGTGAAGACGACGCCCCGTGATAACTTATTAATGCAAGTGGTATTTGAGTGAAGGTGGATAAAACCACGTGCGATTTTATCTGCTTTCGCTTTATTTACGTTGATTTTGAGTCCAATTCTCGCTGCAGTTGTTAACATATTGTTTAACATTATTTGCATTTCTTCGTAACTTTCAGCAAAAAAATCTTCAGTATTCAAGATCTGCGATACGATGCTCTGGACTGATTTGTACACCTCTTGATTACCGACAAGCGGTGCCCATAATCCAGTCCATCGCACAGTTGAGAAATGCAGGAGAAAGGTCGTAACCTTGATGGACATAAGTTTTTATCTCGAAAGAGTCTGTCAGTTCTTCACATAGACGGACTTGAGCCAGGGTATGCCAATAAAATGCATTAATGAGCCGGATGATCTTCTCTGGGACATTCCATCACTTTCCAGAGCGCTGCTCCATTAATCGAATCGAAGGCAGCTGCAAAATCGATAAAGCAAGTAATGGTGGATTGCTTGTATTTGAAGCGATTTTCCAGCACCCTTCTTATCTGGTGTAAATATCTGGTCAGTACAACCGCGTCCCGACCTGATTCCTGCTATTTCGTGTTGTCATTCGAGTCTATTTAGAAGGAAAAATTTTTATGTCTAATGGGCTCATTCCTCGATAATTGTCACACTACACCCTATCACCTTTCTTAGGAGCGGGAAGCAGAATTGCTTTGCTCCAGTCTTCTGGTATTTTTTTTTTGCCATACCGGAGAATACATTCGTTGAAGGTGATTTATGAACGATGACGGACATTTGGAGGAATCAGTCCGAAGACGATCTTCTCCAGGGTTTTATTAGTCTTAAGCTTATGGATTACAGAGAGTTTCTGCTTCTGTTGGTGGCTCACAATTGCAAATGTAAGGCTCGACGGGCAAATCAATTCGAGAGAATAGATGGTTTGTCGTGGTTAAGTTTGGCTACAAAAAATTTTTTCCAACTTCTGAGGCTTTAATAGGGCACTCCATTAATATCCCGTATCATTTCACTGACCCCTTCTCGAATCACAATAACACTGTGAAGGCGAAACAGTTGCCTATTGTCACCTAACCGTCTCCATTTTCAATGCCATATCACTCCAACAACGATTTCTGTCCTGCCGTGCTGCTACCGTTTAATTCTTCGAGGCACCGGATAGTCAGGATATTCGGACTGTGGCAGCTTTTTCAGACAGTTGGACAGTTACTTCCGACACCCAACTAACGCACATCTTACTAGTATAACCTAGTGTGGAATTGGCTGACTTTTGCAGGCATGTTTTTAGTTGGGTGGGGCCAGTATTCATTGGCCTTTCCAAAGATAGCACTCACGTTCATTTCGCTGAGGTATTTCAATGATGCGGTTTGAAATGCTCTTATCGTTCCCGGATCTTTCTAAGATAGATGAAAGATCTTGGGATATGTTGTTTCTTGTCAGTTTTATACGAATTTTTGCTCGAACCATAACATGATCTGATACATGACGTTTACCAGTTTCAGCGCTCCAATAACTCCGATAAGAACGACTATCAAGTACAGAATTCTTCCAGTGGTGACTGACTAATATATGGTTAATCTAATTGGAATATTGGTTGTCCGGAGAGTTCCACGTGACTAGATGTTTCCTCCGATGCTGAAAGCATGTATTAGTAACAAAGAGTCTTCAGCAAAACGAAGAAGGTTCTCCATTGGCGAATTGGGCCCCAATACCATATTTGCCAACCATTGAGTTCATCGAAACGGCATCATGACTTACGCGCGCATTTCAATCTCACCCGAGTAGGACCGTGTCACCTCTCAGTAGGGATGAGTTAACAGTTGAAGTACCGCATAGAATTTACTCTTATCGCGGTCTCTGCGCATAAAGTTGGAGCATAGACATTGATGACTGAAATATTGTAGAACTTTCCTTTGAAACACGTGTAGGCCATACAGTCATTTACTGGTTTCCATTCAATCAGAGCGGACCGAGCCTTTTCCGATATAGCAACCGCTACGCCATTCCGTCCCGAGTTATCCAAGACTCCACTGTGATATAGCCATTACCTTTGCTCGGAACCAGGTTTAATAAATACTCGGGAGCCGACACGAGGAAGACTGACCTCCGACAAACAAGCCACATCCAAGCAGTATTTCGAGAGGTTGTGAATAGCGATCGCTTGGTTTGCAACATTCATAAGCGTTCTGACGTTCCAAGCAGCTATAGCCAACATCTCACTGCGCTTGCAAAGTGTTAACGGTTAAGCTCTCGCCTCCTTTGGCGGATTTTGAATACTTATTTCGGTTCGCAAGAAAATTCTATGGGTGCGCCTTGGACTTTTATTATTATTATTATTATAGCGCCCGGATTGTATATTCATCGCATGCACCACCGGGTCAGAAGTAACATGCGCATTGGGAGATGCAGACATCGTGTTAAAGAGACCTGACCTTTTAGCTAGAGACACTTGGAGATATAGGTGAGTCCCCAGCAGCCAATCGGATTTTTGACATCACGATAGCTTACCCTTGTTAAAGACAGAGGATAGAGGTATTTAAAATAAATTTAAAAGTTCAGAACTGATATGAAATTTAAAAAAAAAGAAAAGAAACTTATCCGATTCATAGATGACAAATGATAATAGTAATTGATAAATTACAACAATAGATGAAATATTTCTTTTTTTATTCATTAATGAGTAGAGCGCCTTTTCGACACAACCGCTCATAAGGTCAATATTCAAAATGCCCAAGCGACAAACATTCATCTAACAGTTATTCGAAAATAAAAGTAGGTCTACATCTTGATAATCTTTAATGATAGGTTACTGGTGCCAAATGGTAAATTAGATTCCATCGCCTTCAGCTTCACTTAATATTATCATTTGAGTACCTCCTACAATTTCTTCCCTTATACTTAAGTCCCACTATACATCAAAAAAAATATTAAAAATTTTCTTCTATAGCCAAAAAATAAAACCGAAAAAGAAGACAGAAATGAAGATCATTAAAAATTCAACATCATGGCAAACCAAAAATATTAAATATGCTTGGTACCATGCATCAGCGCTTATTTTAACAACTGCAACATCCTTGGCAAATTAAAAAAACTCATTAAAGCATCAATCATCTCCATAATTGATTATATCAAAAGATTTTATGTTAAAAACCTTCAACCTTCAGCCAAAATTATTTTCAAAATCAAATGTAATATTAAAAACTATTCTACACAGTTAATAAATGAATGAAAAATAATTATAAAAAATTTAGTAAAAAAAATTTTGCAGCGATTTTTTGCACAGAATTTAAGTGCAGCATGAACTGACTACTGACCTTTTGACGGTAAATAGTTTTTTATCTCCTCCACCAAAATAATTCAAGTAAATTTCCAGGGTAAAATCCTCATATTACTTCAAATTTTGAACGAAATATGTTAAAACAAACTGAATGCATTCAATAAAAAAACAGGAGTTTCGACAGCTTAATGGTTGCTTTTCCTTAAATTAGAATCAAGGACACGGATGCTCTCAAATGCCAATTCGTCGTTAAAATTATCACTTGGTGGAGACTTATATAATTTTCACTATCAAGATCCTCAAGACAAAAATTCTGCGTCATATTAGCACCAATAAAGGCAGCCTTATTAGAAATGGTGAGGGCTAGCCAATTATTTACTTCTCCAGTTCACAACCAAACAAAAAAGTATAAAACGCAAAGCATATATCAAATAAACTAATTATTAATTACTAATTCCATTCAGCATCCTGATTCGAATAGAATATACGATCGTAAATCAGTGACAAGTTTGCATAAAATTATCTTTTGCTTAAGCCAGTAAACATCTGATGGAACGGTAAATAAATTAAAAAAACTGCTAATCCTAATTTTTCGGCTTACAAACCGTACACAAATTGTGAACATTTGCATAGTTTCGATAATACTACTTTCTTACGGTACTAATTATAGGTTAATGTATATGTATACCACTCTCATCCTTACTCTTTACTTTTTTAACGTTGACCTTAGCCTAATGCTTCGATTTTATCTTGTAAATTCACTTAAATGGATCTTACAGATCGATCAATTTTAACACAGTATTTACCTCTGTTTACTTTCACGCCTGGGTATCCATAATTTTCAATTCCTTTTCGTTCAGTTGTTATTCAGTTGTTGAGTCACGTATCAATGCCATATCAAAGTTCGAAAGAGGAACCATTCATAGCAGATTGCTGCTATGAATGCAAACAATTAACAAACGGAGCATCTAATTTCCTATAACAGTGAATTCTAACATTTATTGTTGATCTACAAGTTTTCATCAAATTCTTCCATCAGACTTGACACTGCACTATTAGCAGCTTTATGGAATAATCTGAATACAATTCGGCAGTCGATCCACAGTGTGTGATTATTCCATATGAACCCAAAAAGCTAACCCTCATATTCATTCCTTCAACACTCTTTTCAAAGATAATTCCACCGTAATAACAATCCAATTTTACTAACTATAGCGTTTTACAAATTCCTACAATAAAAATAATATTCGGCAATCTGACTTCGGAATCATTATACAGAGTATTCTGAACACAATTACCTCTTAACCTTTTCTTCTAACAGGAAGCACCATTCCTAACTTGGCTGACTTCACTAGCTATTGTCACTTGTCCTTTGTCCCTTCCCAGAGATAAAAACTGAAGGTGTGGAACCCGGCATCAAACACCATAAATCAATGAACACGTGTCGAATGGATTTAATCGATGTTCTACCATAAGACATCTTATTCAGCTAAAGAAACAAATTATACTGCTTTTGGCTGAAATTAAAGATTAATTGCTTTAAAACGTTTATTTATTTCAATTTAATTAATAAAACTTACAATAAAATTGAATTATTATTAGAAACCAAGTGATCAAGGAAAAGCAAACCTCGTTAACGTCCAACACGTTTCCCAAATTTTCCTCCGACATCGCTGAATTCCCCCTCTGCAATAAATATGAAATGATAGAGAGACAATTATGTTTAAAATCCAGAAATTTCTAGAAGTCATCATCGAGTTTCAAATTTTTACACCTTTTTCACGGCCATGGCCATTCACCTCACCTTTTGCGGTCAATTACTATTGCACGGTCGCGTCCACACTGCTAATGGGCAGCACTATTAATAAGAGGGAGATGTTTGGGTTTTTCTTGCCGGTTGAGGTTTTCGTCGTTTGTTGTTTTTTTTTTTTCATGGTTTAATTTATGAGTTGATTTCACGTAAGTCGCATTTTGAAATTTCGAAATTAGACCAGCAAATTTTTCGTGTTTGGACATTTGAACTATAAATCTTTGAAGAAATTATTTTTGTTTTAGATCGAATTACATGGAAGAAATACAAGACGTAAGAAGTGAAACCGATGGAAGTGGAATCCATCAAACAGCAACAAATTACCAGCAGTCGGCTCCGATGATACGAATTGCAGCTCAGCGCCCTCTTTCAGAAAGTCAGTACGCTGCTTTAACATCGGCAGGAGCTGTTGCTCCTGGAGGAACATTGAGGTTATCGTTTATTCACGTCAAGTATAAAAAATGCGATTTTACTCCTCATTTCTAATTTGGTTCATCTTATTGGTTGTTATTGCGATGGGAAATTTTTGCCAGAGCCATTTTGGAATAGAAATTCAGATTGGTCGCAACACCATCCGAATTTTTTGATAACATGTTTTTACTCCTGTCAGAGGCGAAGTCTGATACTTACGACTATAACTGTAGAACTGTAGAATAATAGAATGGTTGTTGCTTTGAACACCGGCATTGGAGATCCACTCTCAGTAGGAGTAAGCATAATTCAGAAGAGTTATACTGGGTACACTGGCGGCTCACCCGTGCTTCTATCTCCAAGTCTTCGGAGTCCTTGGTCGTCTGGTCTACCAAGTCAGCGGAACGAGCTTGAATAGAAAATGATGAGTATCTTTAGGTTTCATTAATGAAACTCATTGTTTTCTAATCGTTCATTATTGTTATTACGATTTTTAATGTTAGTGCTGTTTTTTTTTGCTCTTATTATTACTGTAATTATTCTAATATTGTCATATTTATTGTTTTATTTTGAAATCTATCATCTATTATTTTTATTATAATAAATATTTGTTAAAATCAAAATCATTATTTTGTCCCACTATTTTGTTTTATATTTCGTTTTATCAATTTTCAGAAAGTTTTGTTTGATGTGTTGATGGATATTTCTTTACGTTAAATATTATGGAAGAGTACGCTTCAAGACGTTAAAAATTCTTTATTCACTAATTTCAGAGATTTCATCGATGATTTGGAGGAATATGCACCAACGATACCAGATGCAGTTACCGTACATTATATGAGAAAAAGTGGAGTTGATAATACAGATCCTCGATTAGTTCGACTGTTTTCTCTTGCAGCACAAAAATATATGTCTGATATTGTTTTAGATGCGATGTTACAGGTTATTTTTTTGCAAATTATGTGCGTTATTTCCTCATATTTCGTTAATTTATTATTTTTTTTATTGGCGTCTGCAAAGCAGAAATGTGCAGGTGAGATAAGTTGCTAGCCATCAAAAAGTTTTTTTTCTTATCATTCTACGTTTTTATGACCTTAATTTCATTATCGTCTAGAGATGTATTTTTTCTTACCCGTTCTTTAATGATACAGTAATTTCTTTATCTAGGCGTCGATTAATTAGGAGGGTTTGTTGTTATATGAGCGGTTATTCCGAAAAGGTGCTCTGTTCATTAATCATTAATTATTAATCAATAAATTAGTAAAACGGCATTTATCAGTCTACTCTTATTTATTTTTTATTTTTTATTTGCTATTTGCTATTACGTACCAAAATTATAATAGTATTATTTTCTGCGAATCAGTTTTTTTAAAAATTTAATTTCTTAAATTATCTTTAAATTCTATTTTTTTAAAATTTGATTATTTTTGCTTTTGTCTTTGACAGGAACTTGTCATGGTATCAAAAGTCCGAGTGGTTTCCACCCGTATCTTTGTACCCAAGTGATTCTATGGTGAAAAGGTTAGGTCTCTTTGGCGCGACGTCGTATCTTCAGGTGTTCATAATACTTTTAACTCGGTGGTACATGCGATAAATATGCGATTCGGGCATAAAAATACTAAAGTAATTCCAAGGGTTGGGCATAGGATATGCTGGCAAATCGGAATAATTGCAGTCAGAATTCATCAAGGGAGGCGAGAACCCAGCCGTTAACACACTTTGTAAGCGAGACGAGATGCTGACTATAGCTGCTTGGAATATTAAAATGCTTTTGGATGTTGCAAGCCAAGCAATCACTGTCCACACCCTCTCTAAATACCTGTTCGTTGGAGGTCCATCTCCCTCATATCGACTCTCGAGTAATTATAAACCTGGTTCCCAGCAGAGATATTGTCTTTATCACTGAAGTGTCTCGAATGTCTCGAATAACTTTGGGCGAAATGGCGTAGTGATTGTCATGTCTTAAAAGGCTCGATCCGCTTTTATTTAATGGAAGCAATAAACGACAATATGGGCTACGCGTGAGCGCGTTTTAAGCCGAATTATTGAAGCTTCTCAATGATATAGAAGTCAGCTATATCTCTGTAAACCTAGATGAATACTTGTCACAACTAAAGGAATGTTTCCAAAAGTCAGTAGTAAGAAGTTGCGTGTCGAAAGCAACTGTCCAGAGTAGCCAAAATCCGAATGTCAGAAGACCCTGAGTATCCGCTGGTTCGAAGAATTACAACGATAGCAGTACGGCGGCACAGAAATCGCTATTGGAGTGATATGGCCTTGAGAATGGAGACGGCGTCTCGGTTAGGTGATAATAAGAAGCCATTTTGCCTTCTTCACAAAGCAGCTCGAGGAGTCAGTGAAATGACACTTAATAAAACGGGTGTTTTTATCTTATATCTTACACATATCTTATACCTATTTTTATCAATTCATTGCTGGTAGAATAAGTACCCGATTTTAAATATCTTGAATCCTTTCTAGTCCCAAATGGCTAGGCAAAGAGGCAAAGGATGAAATAGCAAAGGATAATGGCAGCTAGAAATATGTTTTTCCGCTTGACGAAATGTTTATGGAACCATCGTGAAATTATCATGAAGACGAAAATTCACATCCATTTAGCAGCGATTCGTTCGATCCTGCTATGTGGCTGCGGGACATGGGCAATGAGAGTGGAGGATATTAAGAAGCTACCAGCCTTTGAACACATTTATTGTCTAAGATACATTTTACGGATCCGTCGAGCGGATAAAATCGCACTTGATTCTATCCATCTTCGATCAAGTACCACCTATAATCTTATCATAGAGAGTTGCCTTCGCTGGTTAGGACACGTTTTCTGTCGTCCACCACAGGATTTGGCCCATATTTCGCTACTTCCCGAATCCTATGATGGTTGGCATCAAAAGCGAAGAGGGTGGAGTGATACAGCTAGCCTAACCGATAATGTCAAGAGATGATAGAAAAAGAAGAAGGCGTCGGTTAATTCGGAAGTGTTTTGAAAATCATGAATTTACCATAAAACACTTTGTTTATTCATTTTGTTTACAATGAATTAATAATTAAATAATGAATTAATTTATCCCTTTTTTTGGCTTTTTATGTATTTTGGAGCCTATATTGAAGTCTTTAATGATTTTCAGGCTCGTATGAAAGGTTTGGGACAAATGAAAAAAGGAACTAAGGAGACAAAATTTGCGTTAACATCTGAATTGCTGGAATCAGTTTTAGCCGAATATGGTATAAAAATAAGGAGGCCTCCATATTTTATGTAGAAGTAAACTGTTTGTATTTTTTGCTTTGTATAACCAAATTCTTCTTTGCACCTTGTCGATAAGGTCCTTTGATATTGCAAATAAAGCTGATTTTGATTAATTTACTTTTATTGAAACTTTTATTGTTGATTAATACTATGAGATTTAGAAACCATTTTTAGAAACCATTCATCTTTGAAAATTTTCTGTAAGTTGATTTATTCAGGAACTATGTACAAATAGGACAAACAAAGCATTTTTATATATATTATTAGTGAACAAGGGAAAGATAAAGAAAAAGTAGAATAACATTAGTAATAAAAAATATAAAAGAAGTATTTATGGGGTGAAATTAAATTACGAAAGAACAAATAAGTAATAATTTTAGGCAGTGGTACTTGATTCTTTTCCAAGTACTGCTACATATTCTGGTTTCATGTTCTGTGCTTTTTATTGTGTTGAGCTTCATATTTAATCATGATGCTACCAGTTGCAATTTTTATATATATATATATATATATAGTAATTATATTTATATCTATATTCACAGGTTGTGATTTCTGCTCTTCCATAAGACTAGTATTTTTACTAGTAAATGAGTAATTTACTTGTTTTTTGTTCCAATTTTACCAGTTGATGCTGATGAATCACCTGTCCTTCTGTAGCCATGGGACTCCCTAGCATATTTGTCTAGTGCGACAGTCTAGTGGAGCGAGTCTAACCAGTAATGGTGAGGGTTCTCAAAAAAAAGTTTTATAAAAAAATCTCGTCCTCACTCTCTGTGAATGTTATAGGTCATTCTTAAACTCGAGTTCTCTGACAGAGAATTAAGATCTATTTCATCTATTCCTAATAATGCTCTCTTCTGAACAGAGATATCTGAATGTTGCTATTAGAATCTGTTTTGCGGCTCACAACCTCTAGTGCTCCTACCATCACTCGCATTCCATATCTCTTTTTCCTCTTTCAGCCACTGGGATTTTTTTAGCTTATCATATTTCTTTTCTTCTTTCTGATGTTCCCTTCATTTAGTGTTGCTATATCTGATTTTTCATTTTTGCCTAGTACCATAATATCTGTCTCGTGGCCAATATTTCTTGTATGTTTGGATAGTTCGGGCGGCACCTTGGCCTTATTATTGTCCATGATTTCTTGGAGGATTTCCGTTTTGGCCTTAGGGGAGAGGTCTGAGCCATATGCCAAGCGAATATTTCTGTGGTGCCAGCTGCTTGGTACTTGATTATGCCATTCAGTATGTACTATTCCTGCCGCTACGTATTGTACAATTTCCATCTTGAATCCCGTTTGATATAGTTGATGCCTATTTCCTGTTTCGAGAGATCGGGTATCGGGTGTGATTAATGTCTCATGCTGTCTTTTAGTTCAACTTTTTACAACTACGGTTATCAGTAGGATTTTTCAGTGTCAGCCACTTTAGCTATCTATCGATGGTACATCCATTCATGCTTTACCATAATATTTCTTGATTTTTTTTCAGTGTATGCTGTGCTTCAGGCGTTCCCAGCAACGTATCCTTTGGTCTTTTGCTAAAAGTATTCCCAAATTCCCACAACCCAGTTTATCGCATAGTCGAAAATTTTATGGGAGAGGATATAGCTTTGATCCGGTTCCCTTTTTCAAAGATTTTCGGTTCTCAATCTAGGCTTGTGCTAACGTAAACTCACAAATGCGTTAAAAAGTTTGTTTATTCATAGTGATCAGCTTATCAGAGCGCTATTTATCAAATCAGAAGAAGCGAAACCGATGAAGATAATGGTACGTTACTTGAAATATTGCAATACTTTCGGCGTAAAGATTGGTCAACACAAGAACCGGATGACCAAAATCCAGCTTGGTTGTGGTGTGTGTTCCACTGCCAGAAGTTCAACTGAAGAGGCAAAAATCTTCCAAGAGATGTCTACTTCTTCGACAGTCGTCACAGTTCTCTTGTCTTTCTTGTGAAACGAAAGGACTGCATTGTTTCGGTTTCATGCTATTTGTTATTTACCTTATACCAGTGAATATAACTTTAGTGTCTGGCAATATTTAGAGGGTTCAGTTCTGAGAGTGTCTTTTCGTAGGGTGTTATTGGTCTTAAGATCCACAACTACGGAGATAATTTCGTGCTCGGTTGGCAGCTTGCATTTGCAGTTGTGTGGTTTCATATGTTCCCATCATGTTCAAGATGTTGGAGGTCTGTTGTTTTTAAATGTTAATGTTAAAGAATTCGCTGCTTCGGAAAACGGTCTATGACAGTTAACGGGATTTTCATCTTTATGTAGAATCACTGAGCCTTTCGCGAACTGCGGTTGCTTTGCAAAGCAACCGAAAAATTTTGCATATCGCCTACTCCTTACTCGAGCCGTTGTTATCTACATATCCATGTTGTTTTTTGTTATGCCAATGGTTCTATAAGCTTCTGTATCATCATTTTACATTTTTCAAATTTCTTTTTCTTTTTCATTATATTTCATGTTGCAGATTTCGGTTTTTTATGCTATTGCAGATTTACATGGATTTTTGTTGTGTTCAATATTATTTTCGAGTGTTATGGACGAGTTAACCACTTCATTGGATGCTATTTATTGCTTATCTTTTTTTTTAAGTATAAAAATGAATTTTTTGCTTCACATATACGACACCAGCAAATTTTTCATTTTTATGTTTTTTTTGTTTTTTTTATACGGATTTGAAGTAATTTTCATATCGATTTATAATACTTTTTTATGAATTCTGATTATGTGGTTTTGCAATAATTTAAGATAAATATTTCAGTGCCAAATTTTCCGTGGAATTGTTTTTCGATAATTTTATATATCATTAGTTACTCGCTTCTTTTAAGAGAATAATAAAGATGTCGGCCATCATTTATGAAAAAGTTCTTATTTTCAGACTTGTTTTTTTTAGATTTCAAAATGTTTGGTCGTAGATGTTGTTCGTCGTTTTCAATAAGGCAAATGACTCAGTTGGCAGCGCGATTCTGTGCAGGAAAAAATGTTGTACATGTGGTGGATCCAGTCGTTGACTTACGACATCGCTTTGATGATAAGGATGGACTTTCACAAATGCTTAAAGCCAGGCGAGATTTTTTAAAATTTTTTCATTGCAGCTGTGCTCATGATTTAAACTGTGGAGACTTTGAAGGCTGTGGTGATTTTAACTAGTTGGCTTTTTATTTTTCATTAGCACAAAGGTGGTGGATATTCGCAGATAACATGATTTTATCCCTTTGATGTCAAATTGAGCAAGTTATATGAACTATCCAAAGATTTCGTACGGCGCTATGCTTATCCCTATGCTGCTTTAGTATAATCTGTATGACAGCCTCTTTAAATGTCTTATAGAATAGACCCTTGTCATGTTCCCTGAAGATGTTATCAAACACTCTTTGTATATTTTTTTGTGTCTGCAGGTAAATGTGAAAGGAATGTAGATATACCGGATTTTAGATTTTAGATCAGTATATCAAGAGGTATAATCCATTTCGTTCTGCCTACATTTTTTGTAATAATCACATAAATATATAACCACTCTTTACGAGTATTTTATTTGCATTGATGCTGATTTTCTTGTAGAAATATCGTAATGGATGTTAATGAACTTGATGTGAAGTACAAACGATGGTGGAATATATACGAAAAATGGATTAATGATGTAAAGGCTATTTTATAAAAGGTACCCTTCTCACTCCCTGTATCGCGAAACGGCGAAAATGGTGTGCCGATTACAGTCGAACCCATAGGTTGATGGATTAATTCACAATATTCACAATATCCACTGAACTATCGGCATACAGCTTACGAAAACTCCATTTTTAGCCTCCTCTTCACCGATTCTTTTTTGACAATATTTATTAATAATGCAAATTTCCATTTTCCACTTTTACGACTCCATAGTGGCCTTTTTACTTTCGCCGTTTTGCAACCTCTCTGCGATATGGGTCTACTTCAATCTCGAGATCTCTGTCAGAGAACTGGAGTTTAAAGGTTTTGTTTTTAGGTGTATTATTACTAGTTTCTTAGATATTCTTAGCAGTGCGTTTTATCGGAAGGAGATCTCTGGTGTTGTTCCTGGAATCTGTTGGAGCCACTTTTCCAATCTGGGAGTCATAGCCACAAGAACCATTACAGCGACCATTTTGACCCTCATTTTCCATATTTCCTGATCCTAGTTTTTCTCTAGTTTCTTATTCTTTTATTCTTTCTTTCTAATTATTTATTTAATTATGAACGTTTCATTCATTGGAGAAAAAATGAAGCTACATTCTCACCTGGAAATAGGTCAACTTTGCTCTACACTCAAAATAACCCGAAAGAAGAGAAAATGGATAAGCACCCAACAAACATGGAGGATAGAAGTTCCCTTCCAACATTCCAGTTTAAAAGCACAGCAGTTGACATGTGGCAAAAAATCATGAGTCTGGTTGTAATTAATTCTCAGGACCGACCGACTATCGAGGTTGTATCAAGTAGCACCAGACAATATACTTGTTATTAGAATCATTAGAACAATTCTTTTTGCCACTATAATTGGTGTACGCCACAGCCGCCGTAACTTCGATATAGAATAAAGAAAAATAATAGCATGTTGAATAATAATAATAGCATGTTGTTCCTGGAAAATGGAGCTGGAGAATCAGGGCATCAAAGTGAATAAATTAGTTGGCAAAACTACAGAAGGATATGCGGATTAAGAATAAAACTCGGCTTTTGGAAAAATATCAAAGCGACATTCCATCATAAGACTGTTAAACAAAGATTCATAGAACATGAGTCATTATGTGAGTAAGAAAGCATTAGGAACAGCATGAGCACTTGCTACTCATAGTTTCAAGATTGGTGGTCCTGAATGACCATTCTGTGCAACTTGGATTAAATAAAGGAAAGCATATGACTTGTTGCTTCACACGCACGGATCTGTGATTGTATCTGTGATGATATTCTTTACAAAGTCAATAGGATAAAGGCTGAGAACTCAATGATACTGTGGAAAACGACACTTGAAGTCAACTCAAAGCAGTTTCCACAAGTGACTATCAAGTGCGGCATATTATCAAGGTGGCGTATTTATTATCTCTCTCTTTGTTCTAAATATCTAAATCCGCTGAGATAATCATGAAAAGTGGATATGGATACGAGTTCAAGAGAGGAATTGCCATCAACCAACTTCTTTACGTGGATGATATTAAGCTATATGCAAAAAATGAACGAGATATTAACTCGCTCATCCATCTAACTCGGATTTACAGCGAGAACATTGAGATATCATTCAAATTAGAGAAATGTGACCGGATGGTAGTAAAGAGAGAAAAAGTAATAACGACTAATGGGATGGACTTGCCCTCATAGAGATAGAGTAAGAATATAGATTAGCTATAAGTACCTTGGTATCCCATAGACACATGGCAACCACGATGAGGAAAACTGCAACATCTAAATGTCACAAAGGACAAGAAAAATCACCTTGAAGAGCCAGCTTAATGGGAAGAACAAAATCCATACTATAAATATATGTTTTATCAGTCATCAGGTAGGCAGCTGGCATAGAAGATATACATAAGAAGACATCGAGGCTGTGAAGAGCTGAAAATTCCTAACAATGCACCGAGCTTTCCACTCTAAGTCTGAACATTCAAGGACCAGCGGAAAAAAAGGTAGGCGGAACTTGTTGAGTGTGAAAACCATTGTCATCTGAAGCATTCGGGAATGCATTAGCAACATATCAAAGGATGAGTTACAGAAAAAATGCCTGAAACAACAAAATACTGAAAAAAAACCAAGGTTAGAAAATATCATGGCAAAGCAAGAGCTCCCATTGAGTATACTAATGAGAAATAGCTGAGGTGACTGAGGTGATATTGAGAAATGCTACCAGTGGTTGGAAAAAGAAAGCACTGGTGATAGATACAAGTGGCAAAAACAATAAGAGGACAATGCGAAGCTAAATAAATCAGGAGATGAAAGAGAATTGGAAAATATGGTATGTGAAGGCCAGAGCAGTCCCATTGGTAATAGAAGTGTGGAGAAAATAGTATTTTTTATTGCGCAAAGAAATAGAGCGAGCACAGTTGGAGTTTAGAATATCGTAAACAGTAAGTAAGTGCAAGTGAGAGTACAGATCTAACTCAAACATTCATCTCCAAGATAAATCAAACTCAGTTGCTATCACTAGGTGCGGTGTGCATTGATATGTATGCAACATTGTTTATTTATGAACATGAATAGTTAAAAACAGGGAATAATATAATGTAATTGTGTAATTCTTTGTACAATGTAATTCTTGACAAGGAACACTAAGGGTGACTCATAAACTATAAAAGTGTCTTCAATAGATTCTAGGAACAACATTAGAGATTTCTATTCAGTTGAGTGCTCTGTTAGGAACACCTAAGATACTATGAACTCTTAAGCTTCCAGGCCTCTGCTTGAAAATGATCCATACCACCCGAATGGGATAAAAAAACGATTTATACATTATATATATATATGTATATAATTATTAATTGTTTCATTCTAGTACCAAAACATTAAAAATATTTGCCAAACGTTAGCTTTTTTTTCGTGGTTCATTCTTTGTCTAACTATTATTTTTTTTATATTTTAGTCAAATATGGTTGTTAATCTACATAGATTTATTTCTTTAAATATAGTTGGTCGAAGATGATGGGAAAAAAATAAGCACTTCATTAAAGAAGGAGTTAATAAGTGAATCAGATGGGCTAATAATGGCATTAAGTCTGCCTAACGATATCAGCGATATAGTTGTGCCTCAAAAATCTATGTGTTCTCCGAAAAACAGTGTGAAAACTTCACATGTGGATTTTTTGCGGAAAATGGGAATGATAAAGGTATTTTTATATAAATCAGTAGTCGTCAATCTTTTTCCAGCAATTTCCCAGATGATGTCATAAATATCCATAGACTCCTAGTGCAATTTTTTCAAAGTTTTAAATTTTTTATTGAATTTTTTTATCTGAGAGTTTTGGATGGGTTCTTATAAGCTACATAATATAATCATTAAGAATGATTTGTTGTCTTTCAAATAAACTAAAAATTTATAATCTGAATTATATTCTCAACCACTCCATGACTTTTGTTGAGACCATTTGACTTTATTTGATATAAATTAATTTAAAAAATTCGTTCGGTAGTGAAGTTCTAGTTTGGTATCCAATTAGTAAACGTGGTATACCGGCAGATTTAGTTGCATGCACGATTTATTATTTATTTATTATCATTATTCATTATTATTCAATGTTCTTCTTTATTTAATGATCGTTTTTTTCCCATCCTATGATTACTGTTTAATAATGATAATAATTCATGTTCTGTTGACTTTGTTTAAAATTTAGGTTGATTATACAACCCCGTCGATTCACCTTGTTGGTTTACCCGCTTCGCTGCAATTATCACTAAAGAATTTTTTTTTGGATCAATTCAGTGACATAGCAATTTTGGTTTGTTTCTATTCGAATTAAATAAATCGTAAATTTATCTTCTCTTTTATTTCCTTATTGAGATTATTGAGATTTACGTCAATAACTGTGACAGACGACGAAAAACATGGATTAGCCAGCGGAAACTGCACTTTAATAATATTGGTACAGAAAGTTTTCATATTCATCATATTCGAACGAAGATGAATACAATCACGTGATTATGTCCGCTTTGCCAGTGCATTGTACATACCTCAAGAATGAGTCAGAAGTAGACAGCTTTTCTGATTTCTTTTATTGACCATGTTTCTCAAGCAGAGAGAGTAAATTGGACAGATTACCCCTTCTACCAGGTAGATGTGGAATTTTGCCTTATTTATATCGATTCGAAGCCCTGTTATTGACGATCGCTCTGCATCTATTGTAGCTCCTCGTACCTGTACTACTGTCAGTGCAGCCATCTTCATTATCTTATTTAAGGTCCTTAATATTCTACTGTGCCCTATATCTTTTAAATATCGGCTGTGTCCATAACACAGCCCATCGCATAATTGGAAAATGTGGAGAGAAAATGGTTCTCTTTTATGAAGATTATGTTTTCCCCTCCCCCTCCCACCACACACCCACATTCACATACTTGTCGATGGATGTCGATAAAATGCTTCAGTAAGCCTGCTTATCTTCTTTAGAATATCGTCTTTCACTTACCATTGCTCCTTAACGGAGCTAAGACAGCGGCAGATTAGTTGTGAATGGAAACGGTATTTCAGTATCATCGAAAATTTGGTGTGAACAATCTGTACAATAAGTTCATTCGGCAAAAAGGACGCAAAATCTTTCCAGAAATATCTAATAAGCTTTGGTAGTTGTCGCATTATATCTTTTTTTTTTTTGGAAGTGAGCTGTCTTGCTCTAGTCACATCGTATTTTGTGAGCTGTCTTGCTCTAGTCACATCGTATTTTTTCCTTATCCCATACTAGCCATTGTAAGCTTTGGTAAACACATATAAAGAATTATATTTGATTATGAATTTGTAATTCTTCCTTAAGGAGATATAATAATAATGAAATTTTGGGCGATTGTTTTTCATTCAGTTATTTCATTCAGTTATTTAGTGTGCATTCAAAAAAAAATTTTTCTAGGTAGCTACGCCATACATGGTTCGTGGCGCGATCATTGAAGCACTAAATTTGCCAAAAGAACAGTTTCCATATTTCAACACTGGCGAGGATTTTATCAATTCGTTTTACCTCGTCGGTTTGCTTTTTTCATACAAGTATGACTGAGAAAAAAATTATTTTGGTTTAATTTGTTATCACAGACTATTTTAAATTTTAAATGGAATGGTCAATTTTGGTTTGTCCCAGTCGTTTGCATATTTGATTATTTAACATTTTTAAATTTCCTGTACAGTCCCTTTGCAGGACAGTGTTTGCCATCTTTACTGTCGATTTTGATTAAAACATGTCTCAGTGATAAAATTAATGAATGGCCAATTAGATTAATTACATCCGGTGCATCGTACCGCACTTTTTCGTCACACCGTGCTACTGATGAAAATATAAATTTATATAACGCTCCACAGCAGATGCTAGTAACGTTATTAATAATATGTAATTCGGCTATTGAAGAATCCTTGGAATATGACAATATCATCAACAGGCTGCAGAAGTTATTTCTTATAAAATTGCCATTGAATTGTCATATAGATAATATTCCTCCGGATCAGTTATTCAATTTTGAATCAGCTGCTTCCTCTTTAAGAACTGAATCGAATATTGAAGTATGTTTTTATTTTTTTAAAATAAATATTAAAATAAAATATTTTTTTAAAATAAATAAAGTAAAATATTGTCAGTTTTTTCTCATTCCATTAAATTTTTAATGGTATTAATCGCATATCCTTTTTAATTTGCAGTTTTCATGTTTATTAATATTCTAAAATAGCATTCACAATTTTTGCTGGGTATAATGAATAAATTCTTATCTACAGGTGGCACGAATAAGCCGTTCAGGTACTTATATCTCGAATAGGCTGAATGTCGTTTACGGTTCAAACATAAAAACGCAATTTGTATTTCTTGTAAATGCAGAGATAAATCTTACTAGGTGATTATATTGTTCGTTTTAAGCTAATTTTTATCAATCTTCTTTTACGAGGTGATTATAAGCCCAGTTTTTTTTAAAACTTTATACATCATGGTTCTAAATAAGTCGCTATAAGGTATGCGCGAAGTTTCGTCATAAGGCATGTTTTCTATAAATTCTTTCTTTCTAAATTCTAAATTCTTTTTCTTCTAACAGCTCTCACTATTACTGGTTAGGCTGGCTCCAATGGTTACAAGGGCTATAAGATGCTTCCAAGCATCGCGATCTGATGCCATCTTCGACAGTAATAGAAGCCATTCCTTTTTTCATCGTCTAAGTCCATATATTGCTGGTCCACCTCTACGTTCAAAATCTTTTCTGACCACATCAGCCCAGGTCTTGATTGGCCCACCTCGCTTTTGACATCATCCATCATACGGTTTAGCAAGTAACAAAATACGCGTCAGCTCCTGTGGTGGATGACGGAGAACATGCCCTAACCAGCGAAGATGACGTTCTGTGATGGTACTACTAATGCAAGTGGTATTTGAAGGTGATGCGATCATGTGAGATTTTATCCACTTGACTGACCCGTGAAATATACCTTAGACAAGAGTGGTCAAAAGCCGATAACTTCTTAATACCCACTCTCATTGGCCATGTCTGAAAGCCATATTGCAAGATCGAACGAATCACGGCTATATAGATGCGGACTTTCGTTTTTATGGTAATTTCACGACGGCTTCATAAGGGTTTCGTCAACCGGAAGAACGTATTTCTAGCTGCCGTGGTCTGGGCTGTATTCTCTTTCGACTGGCCATTTGGTATTAGAGTAGGCCCAAGGTTAAAATCGGGCACTTTCTCAGTCGGCAATGAATGAATTTATAAAAAAATCATGTTATGCATTTTATCAGTTCCTTCCACATAAGAAAGACTTTCGTTTTATTTACATAAGTATATTTTAAATAAATTAGAGAAAACTGACGAAATTTTGTCGAATTTGTAAGATTTCAGGGTTGTTGCCACTGTTTTTGAAGATTACATGGTTGATTCCAAACCGATACCGAGTGAAATTCAGTACTTATTGAAAAGCCATTGTCAATTGTGATGTTTTTTCAAATTAAGGTTCAATTCAATTTTTGTTTTTTATTACTTAATAAATACTTTAGCGTGCAATAAAGGAAAATACCGGTACCCTGTAGGCTTATTAACGCCTCATTTTAAATAATTTAAGCATTATGTTACTAATGTTTCTAGTGTATTGATGTTTATGATTATTTTTCTAGAGTTTCAGTAGAAATATGGATGGTCAATGCTTTAGGATCGATCGCTTTTATTCTGGCTTCATTATTGCTGAAGCTATCTTTAAATTATTTCTAATTACGGCTAAATTATGCATAAAAGCTCTGATCAATTGTTTATTTTTACTTTGATGTTATTTGCTATGAGAGATTTTTCCAGCGCTTTGATCAAGATCAATTTAAGTGAGTATATTGTTTGTTATCACTGAATATAATATTATATAAAAATTATTGAATTGTTGGTAATATCAATAAATTAATGCATTATACATAAGTGGATGTCAGGCTATTTAAACGATAGATTTCAAGATTTATGTATCAGTTATTTCTCCGGTTTGGTACTATAAATTGCAAATTATAAAACTCATAGATATTATATTATTAGTATCGGAGGGATATCGCGGAATTCTATCGAAAAATTCTAAAGGAAAATTTTATTTTGAAAGAATGGAATAGAAATGTAGAAATGTAGCGGGTTTTGAGCAAATGTCAAATGGTGTACCGTGTTTAAACAATTTGCTATTTCTATGTATCTCGGGAAAAAATTAAGATTGGCCAGATTTTTTCGAAATTCTTTCAAATCTCCGTTGAATAGTATTAGCTACCCACTATCTTCTTCCTTTTGTACACTTCTCAACCCGTTCTTAATATCCTTTTATATCCTATATTACCCTTCAACCGTTTCAAACTATGTTTTCCTTCCCTAATATTTTTTTCTGTGGATCTGTTGTTCCCCATTAACATCATTCAAAGCCCCGATAAGTTCACTTCATCAAATCTCAATATTTGATTACCCACTAATAACGTTAGAACTCTCCTTATATCTTAATATCTATACCTTTTCATCTGCTTTCATTGGTCATCCATTGGTCATCTGCTTTTACTACTTTGAGCTCCGACCTATCGCGTTCAAACCATTTGATTATCTTTTAAAACCTGTCATATTTGTGAAAAATCTCAGGCCCTCAAATATTCTTTATATATACGCGAAATTTGTTAGTGGCATTGTTTCAGACCTTTTCCTACTTTAAGCCTTCTAAATCCACTTAGTGCCACTCATTTTCATTTTGTTCCGTTATCCCCATACTTCGAAGTGAACTTATGCCACAGCTACAAATTGCAGTTATTTAGCTGCAAATCTGCATAAAAATTTGCAAAATGTAGAACGAAGGTAACATGTCGAACGAGTATAGCGGAAATTTAAGAAAAATTGTAGAACATTGGTGAAAGACAAAATAGGGCATTAATGTTTATTGAGGGAATTTTAAGGATACATTAAGAACTATGCCGAAGTTAGGAAAAAAATTTTGTCTCTCCGTAGGCAGAATATTAACATAAGTAATTTGTCTGCATGAATGTTTAAAAAAATTGGCCTTCAAATTATCTCTTTGGGCTACTTTAACTTCTACCGCAAATTTTATATTTATAATTAAAATGAAAAATTCTGCTATATTATCCTATTTTATTGACAAGCAGAATTTATTTCAGCACCACTGTTTTATCTTTTCATAGACTTGTCCGCAGGATGGAGGAAACGAGACGTAAGATGGCTTGAGCTCAGAACAAAACTTAGCCAGTTAGTAATTTGCCTGTGCCCGGTCTTTTTTGCTCCTATTTACGCGGAAGCAGGATGAATATGTAGAACAATGATTTTAAAAAGACGCTTTATGAAAGTTTTTTGCAAATTTATATTGAAATCAAAAACGATGTATTCTAACCATCGGTTTAAGAGGAAACTTCAATAGTAGCATTGATTACTGAAATATAATCACCTTAATGGGTAGTCTCGCACCATCCCTCCATAATTTTAAAAAATAACAATATTATTGGCAACATCGCGTCTTTCACTGTTTCACTGTAAGGACTACAAGATAAATCGAAATCGAAATTTTTCGAATGCGATTCATAAACAAAAAATTAATTTCATATTATGAAATAAGGTAAGCTTTGGTCTTTGTTGGAACAAATAATCTCAAAATTACTTTTGTTTTATATTATTTATATATCATAAAAAAACTTTTTTCTCACTCCTTGTAGCTGTCATGATCATCCTCAACCTCAGGTCCTCTACTAGAGGCCTGGGATATTGAGGGTTCTACACAGGACCTTAGCTGTTCCTAATAGTGCTGTTCTGATGTTGTTCTTGGAATCTGTTGAAGCCACTTTTCTAGTTTAAGTATCACAATTCCAAGTTCTCCAAGATTACTTTGGTCTTCAATTTCCACATTCCCTCTAGATCATCTTTCAGCCCTTGGTATTTTTCATATTCCTTCTTCCTAACGTTTTTGTCACATGGCATGGCTCTATCTATCACCAGTGGTGATTTCTGATTCTTGTCTACCGCGATATCTGGTTGACCTGGCCAGTACTTGTTTGTCTGTCTGGATGGAGAAGTCCTATAGGATTTTCGCCTTATTATTTTCTACGATTTTCTGAGGGATCTTTCATTTAATCTTGTGAGGGTCTAAACCATATACTATTTCTCTATCTTCTGCATTTCTTTAGACGATGCCAGCTACGTGGTTATGTTTTTCAGTGTATGTTGTTCCATTTTGCATTTTATCTTGCCACTATGTGTTGGGCGTTTTTGGACAGCATGCATCCAGAATTCTATCTAGTGTTATAGATCCCTGCTTCAATGGATCTGGTGCTTAGCATCTGTTCTTGTGCTGTAATGATCAATGCCTCAGTGTTGCTTTTTAGTTCGGCTTTCTGCAACCACTGTTAGGATTTCAGAATGTCAATTACATCAGCTATCTATTTATGATGCAATCCATGGAGGGCTTTGCTTTGCCATGGTATATCTTTTGCTTGATCATTTTGCATTGTCTGTACTTTCTTCAGATATTCTCTCACACATCATTCTTTCTTTCATCCTTTGGTGCCATCTTCATGATATATTTCTGAATATTTCGAGTTTCGTTCTAGAGTGGCTTTTACATTTAGCAAACCTGTTTCGCCTTCTTTTCAACTGCCTTTGGGTATTGAACTTGGAGTGGAAATTTTCGTGCATTGTGAAGAGTTTCCAGGTCTTCACATCAGGCCAGGTTTTCACGATTTGTTTGATTCTCCGATGGCACTTAGATGTTGCAGTTTTCCTCATCGTGGTTGCCATGTGACTGTGGGATACCAAGGTACTTATAGCTAGTCTAAATCTTCTGTATGTCCTGATGGCAAGTCCACTCCATTAGTCATCATTACTTTTCCTCTCTTTACTACCATCCGGTCACATTTCTCTAATTCGATTGATATCCCAATGTGCTTGCTGTAAATCTGAGTTGGATGGATGTATCGGAAAAAGAATGCACTCTTGCGACCGTGAATTGAAATATTTATTTAAAAAAATACTATTTACTATAATAAATAAGAAATAGTGTAGAGAAATGAAAAAATGTTATTTAATAGGAGTAAAAGCATATATATTCAAGGCGAATAGCGAATTAACAATAAAAAAGGGTGGTGAAGCAAGGCGAAGGCGATTCTTTTTATTGCCAATCCAACACTGACAAGTCCTTTGCTAATCTGGGTGGTTCCTCCAAAACATTGGTTGATCAAAAATTACATAAAAATTAATTTATTTTTATTCAAAAAAAATTTTCTCATGGTTTTTTTTTTTGATATGCAAACAAGATGGCTTTTCAAAGTAGCTAACAGATGCGTGAACAAAGAATGAAGAAAAAAATTTTGTGATTTGCACATTGTTGACTGCTTATGATGTGGAAAGCTTTGTTAAAATCTTGTTAATCCTCTTTTTTTGAATTTTAAAAAGCTTTATGAATTTTATCGTATTATTATTATTTTATTTTATTTTATTTCTTTTCTTCAGTTGTTTCCGACATTTTCGACCTTGGAAAAGAAGTATTAGGTGGTGGAATATGGGGTTCATACTGCAAGGGCATTCGGCTAGTAGTAGTTATTTCTGTAAATTTATCTAATAATAATTCCGTTGGAATTGCTAAAAAATTTGTTCTTGTTGGAGTCTTACTGCTCGATAAGCGCATTATAAATCGAATAAGTTTGAATTTCATCACAATGGCAATAAGTATTATTGAAATTAAGAATAGAGCTGCACTAACAATGATCAATTTCCAATGTATAGCAAGACTTGCCAATTCTTCCTCAATCAGTTCTGTTGCTTTACCAGTTTGAAATTCCAATTGTTCGGCAAATTCTTCTTGTTGGCCTTGTTGGCCTATTTCTTTCCAGAAGGGTTCCATCTGGTATTTATTTGATGCTGGATGTAATCCTTCTTGGTTCTGAGCTAGTATTTCCAATGCTGCATTAATTCTTTCAAATTCAAGTTTACTTATTATTCCTGCTTTGAATTTGATAGCTGTAGAATTAAATTTCCTTGATTTACATGGAATAATTAACAGTTTTCCTTTGATTTCTTTAGCTATCACATCGTTCCTTTGTAATAATAATCTGACAGTTGGATTATACGACGATAACCCTTCAATTAGTAGCCGTAAATTGTTACGATTTTGACAACTTCTTTGTTGCACTATGCTTATTTGTCATTGGAAATTTTGCTGTAAAATATCAAAAAGGTATTTCGTATTCTCTGGATCAAATTTGTCTCCCTTATTTTATTCGTTTCCATTAATAATAACTTACCTAACTTTATAGCTGGTAACAAATTTTCAGTCCTTCGATTTCTCGGCAGCATATAAACCAATCTTTTTGTATGGACAATTCTTTGATATTTCGGTTCCATTCCATAAGATAATATTATACATTTTCCGCTTTGAGTAGTCCAGTATTCAACACTACGAAAATCAGATATCATATCCTTTCCATCATAGACTACTAATTGTCCTTCAGTAAGTGCAAAATTTGATATAGATTGACATCGTACTCCCAACCATCCATAGGAGTATTGTATATTATTATTTGTTGTCCAAATGTCTAGTGTTATCTGCTTCATGGCTCCATTGATTTCTTTATGTTTATGATTATGTAAAAATTTATAAGTTTGCGATGATGTGGCTGAAGTGTTTGTTTGATCCGAGACTACAGATAGAGGTAGCCTAAGAAAGGCTTTAGTACATACCACTCGCGCTGTATTATTGCATCGTATTGCCGGAATTCTCATATGAGATCTAATATATATAGCTATTTTGGCCAACGTGAGATTTTGTTGCAGTATTTCTTCACAGTTCCATCTATTAGGAAGGTTGAAAAGAATATCAGTTGTCATTTTGCAAGTACACGTATGACACTTCTGTTTTATCCTTTGGAATCCAATAAACATTTCTCATTGTTGATAACGTATGAGCGATACCAATATGATGTAAATTTTCATGATAGCACATTAAAAGGAGTTCGGTTATTATATTATGCCTTGGTAAATAAATTGGGTGCTTGCTGTTTTCGCTTAATTCTGAGTTCTCCAATCGACTCATCGATTTCCATAGTTTTTCATATTCATCATAGTAAAGATTCTATTTAGTTATTTCATTGTCGTTGATGCCTTCAAATTGTGCTTGCCTAATTAATCTAATTCACATTTGTCGAGCTGTGTCTACTTCTTTCATTGTTATACATGAGTGGTCATCTGAGATCGGGTTTAACCACTCGAATCTATTTTTAGATATGCGTTTGATGAATCTGCATGCTAAAATGGCTACTCTTATTAATTCAAACCATTTACTGAATCGGCTTGTGTCTATGAACGTAAATTGTTGATACTTGGGCATTTGTTATATCAATTTTACATCAGCCCCATTGAGTTTTCTCCATTTCTTCATGCTCTTCATGCTCTTGTGCTTGAAACTCATATTGTGGCCACTCGCATTCCTTCCTCCATGATGGTCCATACCACCAAGAATTAAAATTCTTGAGGTTTGTAAGAGAAAGTCCTCTTGTAGTCATGTCCACTGGGTTCTCATTCCCAGATGTGTAAAGGAAATTAAATTTTGTTTTCCGAATTTCTTCAACTCGATTCTGGATAAATTTTGGATGGAATTTAGAATAGTTCTTTATCCTACAAAGCACACTTGGAATCAAGTCATAATATGTAGTTCCAATAGCGGTATGGTTATTCCTTTGATGGGTGCAATACGGGATTTGGCATAAATTAAAAATAGTTCGTTTTTGGGCCTTCTTTATTCGTCGTATGGAATTGATAAGAAGTTAATCAAGTGTTTCATTTAAAATGGCATATTCTATGATTTAATATAATTGCATCGATTCTCATGAATTCTTTTTTTCCAACATTTCGAAGATAATATTGCATACACCATACTCGAAGCATCAGTAAAATATGAAAGTACATAAGATTAATTATAAATCGAGGGAAATGTCGTCTTGTCGTTAAAAAGAGACTCCCAAACTTGTTGATCCCACGAATTATTGTTGTTTAAATTATTTTTTTTCCATAAAATAATTTAAATCTTACAATCACAGGAACTAAAAATCCTAGAGGATCATACTGTGAAGCAACAAACTGAAGAATATTTCTTTTAATTATTTCATTGCTCATCCATGGTTTCAGAGTTATGATGTCTAATTTAAGGGACCACATAATCCCTAAATTCTTTCTGTCATTGTAACTTGTTCGATGATGATCGGGATAATTCCACTGAATCTGACATCATTCGAAAGAAATTCTCTAATATTCACTGAGGCTTCCTCAAAAATGGTTCTTAATTCAAAATATTTCTCTAAAGTTTCCTCCATGTCTTCTGCTGATATCAAAACGTTATCAACGTAAAGATTCTTTCTTACCTCTGAAGCTGTTTCACTACCATTAGATTCTAGATGATAATTAATAGTAGCTGATAATTAAAAGGGAGATGATATAACTCCTAATGGGACTCTTTTAAAACGATAACATTGTAGATTTTCTTCAGTAACCCCATTGTTTATATCCTTCAACCAAAGAAATCTGGTGCAATTCCTGTCTTCGGGATGTAATTCTATTTGCAAAAATGCCTTTTCTATATCGGCCGTGATTACTTTCCTTATCATTCGAAAGCGAAGTAATATACCTACCACATCTGGAAGTATTATCGGACCACAATATAGTAAGTCATTTAAACTTTTCGATCCTTTTGCGTGTGCTGATGCATCGTAAACAATTCTTAATTTAGTTATTTCCTTGTCGGGAGTCAGTACATTATGATGAGGTTATTAATATATAACACCAACTTGGTTCATATAAGGTTCAATTTTTTCAATTATATCAAAGCTCAATTGATCCTGAATTATTTGATAATATTGCTCGAATTCTTGTTGATGAAGTCTTTCAATCAAGTTTTTAAATCTGCCATAACATCCATAACACATTCCATAATTTTTACTTACTTTAGCTGTAGATTCCTCCCATGGCCATCGTACTTGATATCTTCCATTAATTTGGATAATATTCTTTTTGAATTGTTCTAGCGCTCGTTCGTCATCACAATCATAAGGTTGCTCAATCATAAGGTATTCCTATGCATTACAATTTCCAAAATTGATCTGTATCTGAGATACGATGTATACTAGAAATACATTTCGATTTATAGGTAATTTGATTAATTTCTTCGATATGTCCACTTCCGCAGATCATAGGATCCAATTTAGTTTGAAGTAGAGAAAATCCTAATTTAATTTGTTGAATTTTCTCTAGTTGTTTAAATTTGAAAAAGTAGTCGATTCGATTAATATATTTGGTTTTTTCCGATAGAAAGCTAGGCTTTCTAACAGATAATTCCCGTCCAGTGTAGATGATAGATGGTATATCTGCTACTTGAAATTCACTCTTTAAATAATCCGCCACATTCACTTCAGAAACTATTACCTCCTTGTCTTTATTTTCTATTCCAATTAATATCTTCATTGTGAGAAGTACCGTGTGATGTCTAGTTCCAAAGGTGGGTATATTTGATTCCGTTAGTTCCGTTTATTCAAGTTCCAAACAGCTCGCTAGTTCTCTGGATACTTAATTGGAAAGCTTAATTGTGAACCAATATCAAAAAACACTAGAACTTCTTCACATTTTGAATTTTCTGGATTAAAGACAATAACCTCTTTACATAAAAATAAAACTTCTTTCTCCCCTTCGGTGATCGTGTTATGATAGTCGTTTCACTATCTAATTTGACTTACCTTTCTGATATGGGAATATGCTCAGCTTGCTTGAATTGTAGTCTGTTGTCGTAGAGGGCGCTGTTATGTGATTTTTTACAATGAAAACATTTCATTTCACCGATTTTTTACAATTGGTCTCTGTCCTCCTTTGAGGCGTTTCCAACAAGCTTTAATCTTGATTAAACGTTCCAAACTTTGCTTTAAAGAAGGATAAGTTTCACAATCACTATCCCAATGATCTTTGTTAAAAAACGAACAAGGTTTTCTCTTATGATTACTATCTAGTCCTTTTTTTATCGACAAATTTGAAATAACTTTAAACTTATCTGAACCAGGTTGACTGATTGTTGCCAATGCAGAAGTTTCTCCTTAATTTCTTTCTTGCCGATGTTTGGATTTAAACTTGGTTAATTGTCGTTCGCGTTGGTGTTTGAGGCTTGACTTCTGGTTACTTGGTCGTTTCCTCTTACTAATTTTCCGAGAAACTGTCGAAGTTTTGTTACTGATCAGGTCACGTTATTATCCTTTTGTTGAAATATTTTGTCTAGAATCCACCCTGGTAGCTTCCTTTCAGTGAGTATTTCAATACTCGAATGTTCAAGATTTTCTCTGACAGTTTCTAGTTGACAAAGAATTCTTTCGATTGCTTCGACTATCGTTTTCCAGTCTCGATTATGCCTTTTGACAGTATATTACAAAGAGATTTCTTAATAGTGGAAGTCTCCCAAAATTTTTCAGTCAAAGCTTTCAGTATGACTTGATAATTTTCCGGTGCGATATCATAACCTCTCACAACTCTGAACTCTTTTCCTCTTAAGCAAGAGACTAAATAATTTAATTTTTGTATATCTGGGATTATTTGAGAATATACAGCAGCTTCAAAACTGCTCCAAAATTTTCTCCATAATTTAGGGTCTCCGCAAAATATTGGTAGCGGTAATTGCGGCAAATTTATTATAGATAAAGAATGTCTGGTTTAGTTACATCTTTTTCTGATTCTTGCTCAGATTCTTTATTTAAATGTGATTTCTTAATTTGTTCGATTATTGATTCGAAATCCTTTTTATACATGTTTAACAACAGCTTCTTTTCTGTCAGTTATTAAGTTTAAATACCCTTTTCATTGTCGACCATTTGGGCATACTTTTCTTCTTCCTCCTTCCGTTTTTGTGGAGTGACTATCGTATCGATATAGTCCAACCATTTTGTATTGACTGATTTTAAATAACCAGTGTGTATTTCGAAGCGTATTAGCTTTTCTTCGATTATTCTTTTTTTAATCTCGTATTGTTGATCTCGTATTGACATAATTCTTCCAACGGCAGCTTCTGATTCGGTGGTGATAAATCCAAATTTCATACTTCACTCAGGAGTTCAGTTAGTTTTGAGTTCAGTTAGTTAGTTTTGTTATTGCTGGTTGCGCGCTTTTCGCTTGCCGTCATGTTTCCGGGTCATGGCACCAAAAAATTTTTTGTCGGAAAAGAATGTGTTTTTGCAACAGTGAATAAAAATATTTATTGAAAATACAGTTTACGATAATAAATGAAAATGATTATTTAATAGGTTCGAAGTAAAGGCGAACGTAGCTAAGACGAATAGTTAATAACCAAAAAAAAGAGGATGAAGCAAGGCGAAGGCGAATTTCGGTCTTACAAATCCAACACTAACAGAGTTTTCCTTTGCCAGTCTGGGTGGTTCTTCCAAAACATTGGTAGATCAAAAATTACATAAAATTTTGTTTATTTTTTTTCAAAAGGAAATATTTTCATAATTGTTGTTTTGATATATTAATAAGATGTTTTACAAATTAATTAATAGATGCGTGAACTAAGAAAAAGGAAAAAAAAACGATTTTGTGCTTTGCATATTGTTCATGTGAAAGGCTTTGTTAAAAATTTGTTGTTTTTCTCTTTTTGAATTTTAAAAAGGCTTCATGAATTCTTACCGTATTGTTATTATTTTATTCCTTACTTTTCGATCTTTTCCGACAGTGATAAATAATAATAACGATAATGATAATAATAATAATAAATAATAATAATGGCAATAATAATAAATAATAATAATGATAATGATGATGATAATATTGTAATATTGGATGACAGTAAGAATGTTATTAGTAACAGGAGAGACAGGATGGCTCAATTATAATGATGAATTAGGCGCCAGCAAGATTCGACTTGCTCTGGCTTTTAACTTTTGTTTGTTGTACCATACCAGAAACTGAATGGACTGATTCTTGGAAAAAAGTTTTAGGAATTTAATACAATTTTAAATCATCCAAAAATACTAACCTTCAGCACCAATCGATACCAATTTTACTCCTTTACTTTCAATGTATTCCAATGCTTTATTAACGTTTGCAATCTTATGAAAGCGCATTTTACCTCTGTCTGGGCGAGGCAGTGGTTCTCCCGAAATAACTTCCAAAAGAAGCATTAATTTAAGACCTAAATTAGCTATTGTTATCGCGATATAAAAAAACCTCCCAAAACCTTTGTTTTTGCCTACATTTTCTTAAAACAAACCATTTCTGAAGTCTTCTTCAATTACCTCTATACTGGTACCAGCTTTTCGCAGATGACTGTTGCACCATGCAGTGAATGTCTGTAATAATTAGCTTTTATTAAATATTTAAATAAAATAAAGTAATTTTATGGTTATTCATGTGAGATTTTCGAAATCTCAATATTTGTGGTTAGATTCGTTTCACGATTAACAGAACTCTGAAGAATTTCCATCAGTAAGTCATTTGAATAGAAGTACAGAAGTATAGATTTATCCTTAGCACCATCCGAATTCTTTTAGCCAAACTAGACTACGATGGTACCATATTTTAAAAATGCTAATATGAATAAGGACTTCTAGGTAAATTATTCCCAGCGAAACATGTGGATACCATAGCAATCAAAAACATTTGGGGCAGCAATATTTTTAAAATTCCGCGCAAATTTCATGGGAATAGCCAGGAAATTGCGAAATCAATCTATACTTCATTTAAAATTATGAAAAGAACCTTTTTCTGTTGTTTTTCCCAAGCCGGGTCCAATAATCCTTCACGATCCCATTCTTCTTCTTGCTGTGTGTAATCGTAACCAGACTGATATGGATTATTACCTGGATGTTGGTAATAATCTACCATTTTTCTTCTATTAGTACACCTTTAAAAAATTTTTTATCCGTCATAAATTTGCGAACAAAACACCGATGTGCTACAATTTATCGGGAAAACACTGATGAATGTAATCGAAAATCTATCGAATAAAAGCTTGCAACTGGTTTATTTAAACTAGGAATTAAACGATTTGCGTTATTAATCTTTTTTTTTCATATGAAAACAACATCCAGACAACTATATTTATAATATTATATTATAATATATTATATTATATTATAATATTATTATATTTTTCATACAGTACAAAAGGTAACAACGTAAAGCAAAATAAATACAAATGGGACTTTAAAAAAAATAAATAAATAGATATAATATAAAAAAAATAATTGGGAATCAAAAAAAAATAATTAAATTTTAGCAAAAGAAATAATAGCAAGAAAGATTTTCTATTATTCACACGTTTTGCACTATTGAACGATATTTACGGAGGACAAAATGCTTTGCTTCTTTTTTGGATATATCTCGTCCCTACTGTACTGCTATTTTTATCGTAAAAATATTAGAGTAAGTGATTAGCACTCTTCTTCATTTCTGTTTAGGGTGTATTTAGACATCTATATGTCCGGGTAATGCTGGCAACTCACCTGTATTTCTATCGCCAAGAGACTCCTTGGAATATTGCTCAATGCGACAAGCCAGTGGAGTGAATTTAACCAGTAATGGTGAGGACTCTTTCATTACATCTATATGTATTTCCATCACCCAGTGATTCTCTCAAAATGAAAATTCTCATAGTTTTAATAATTGTTCGCTAGAACGAACCTAACCAAAGTTGGTGAATGCTAAGCCATTATTCGTGGCTATGAAAAAATAATTGTGAAAAGTTATCGACCTAATGAGATTTGAAATTGTATTTATTTCGAATTAGAATGCGATAACAGCTGGGCTAAATGATTGTTTGTGTGCGGAGTGCTTTTATTTATTTTCTTTGATAATAACAACGATGGATGCAACAATACCTCCTCGGAATTTGTTTAATGATAAAATTAAAATTCAATATTTTCCAAAAAAATGAAATTATGTTCAAAAAAAATGTGAATAAGATTTGAATAACAGTGGAAGAAATAATAGATTGTCACTGATAAGGAAGTTATTATTTCAATGGAATTTAAATGAAATAGAACAATAACCGATTGGCCTCAATGTTCTTAAATCATGAACAAATTAATGCAGCACCGTTAATTGCTAAATGTCATATCCAACAATTGCATAATGACAACAATTGGTTGGTTCAAAAATCTTGAATGATTCCTATACATTTATATCGCTTATCAGTTCTTCAGATAGAGAACATTTCTTATATAGTAAATTTATAACGGTAATTTATCTGAACCTACTGGCATCAGGAATTTCTTTATCGTTGTGAGTAATTTTTTAGGAGACTGGAAAATATTCTAAAAGTCGTCTAAGAAGAAGGAATTTTTCTTTTTTAGCTTGGCTAAATTGGCCACCATTAATGGAATGCAAAATTCTTATTCAAATAGTGCAGGACTCACGATATTTCCCTTTTCTTCAACTGTTCGTAAAGTTTATGCAAATGAATATCATTGAGCAAATTTAAATTTTGAATGCTAACAATTTTTGAAGCAACATAAATATATAAATAAATAAATATAAATAAAGTAAATAAATAATAAAGTACCATAGTAAAATAAATATTTTCTAATTCTTTTTAACATAAAAATGGATATTTTGAATTAGAAATTTCTGCAAAACTTTTAGTAAAATATAATGCATAATCACTTTGTTCGTAGTCAAATCATACAATTCAATAGGTAAATATCAAAATTTCGGATAATAATTATCGAAGTATATACAAAGGCCAGAAAAATGAATCAGTTTTTTCGGCAATCAGTTAATTTGATATATGGATGTACGATGAATGTTCAGTTAAATCACTTTTTATATGCGTGTAAATATAACTGAAAATGGAAAGAAAAAGAGGATAAAATTGCGCCATAATTGTTCGATAATAAAATAAAAAGTTTGAAGGACAAATTTGCTATTCAGTTGTGTTCGCCAGAAAAACTTGGATAAAAATATTAAAAGAATATTGCACCAAATCCGATATGAAAAATAAATATTTTGGACTGTTTTTAGGCTTATTGCCTATCGTTCTACATGATTTTTCAACTAAACGAAAAAAAAAAAACAAACTTTCCCATAAAATAACGAAGTTATTTTCGAAGCAAATCAAAGAGAATTGTTAGAGGATCAATCTTTTCGAACAATTCATTAACGCTTATCATTTCTGGTTTGCCTAGCACTGCTGACTGCTACATTTACAGAAATTTTGCCATGGTATCACTTGGTGGTAAAAGAAAAAGTTGATACCCGGCCAATAGTACCCGAAATTTTAAGTGATAGACTTATTCTTGCCGAGTGAAGGAGTCAAACTCTTGTCCGTTGGAAAGAGTAATCTCTCCACTCGCGCTGTCCTCGATCTTTTGTCTAGTATAATTAAAATTTGGATTTTATGGCTTAGATCGGTTAGTATTTTGCTTCAACTAATGTCACATTGGATCGATTCTTGTTCGTTTCGATTTCATTTGTTGAAAGAAAGAAATCCGCCATTAATTAATAAAGGAGAAATCTGGCTGGCGTTGAAGACCAACCGACACTTCTATGCCTAGTTGAACTTCTAGTGAAAAGTTATCACCCTATTAATCAATGAAAGCAGCCAAACCACAGATGAGAAGATATGCAAGACAATGACAATAAATATTAGCCAGTAACTAACGCGAATGAAGAAAAAGGGAATCAGTTAGAGATCATTTCGAATTGATAAAGCTGTTGACTGCAAAAAAATTTAGCTCGGTCTAATTAATTTTAAAAAGTTATTCAAATTTTTTTGGAAAATTTTCATAAATTTTTGTAAATTTAACTCGATTCCCTCCAAGCTCGAGATTCTCTCGAGAATTTAGGCCTAAAATAAGACTTATTAGGCATCTAAATAGAAATCTGGAAATCGTTAGGTTAACTCTTACATTAAGATGAATATCTTTTAAAGACCTGAACCACATTTGAACATAATTTGAAGCCTAAAAGAACCAGTTTAAAAAATATTGATTCAGAAAGTGCACTCTGATAAGCAAAGCAATGCATATCTCTGCTGGTAAGTATAAAAAATTTCTCGCAAAATTCAAAATTTCTTTTTATTTAAATAAAAGAGTGGCATGATAGTTGAGTGGATAATGACTCCTCTATCCGGTTGAAAGGTGAGAGATCGGCTTGTGCCCTCGACAGACCTGTAAATAATCTGCCACTACTTCTATCGCCAGGTGCCTCCCTGTTAAAAATTTCTAACAGTCAGTGAAGCGAGCTTACAATGGTTAACCACCTATTTGCTTATTAAAATTAATTGAACTGAAATAACATGAATATTGATAGAACAGATAATAAAATCGACAAAAGGAAAGGATATGAAGAAATTGGTAAGTGGAATGAGCAATGAAACTGAAATCACTAAAATATTACAGCGCCTTGTGTATTTAAGCAATGATGAAGAAAAATGCTCTCGCTCATCGACGTTTTAAATATAAAGTGAGTAGTACAGCCTCAGCAATTTTTTAAATTCATTGCTTAAACTCTGCGTTGGCGTTAAGAAGAAAATTTTCAAGCATTTCGGATAATATAGAATAGCCTTTCCGCTTTTTTAAATTCCTATCATTGCTTTTATTTCCCACTCGATTAAATAAAATAATCGTCAATAAGTAATTTGCTTCGGCTCCGACTAGTTTCTTAAAACTACATTCATCATTTCTGGTTTGATTCACTGGCTTAGGATTAGTTAAGATTAGATCATTTCACCAGAGAATTTCAGTTGGGGATACAGGCACTTGGATTTTACTTTTAATGAAAGGCTTAATCCAAACGTGAAATAATAGTTGAACCTATAATACTTGACTTTAGTCGAAGCAATGTAATATTCGGTTGATTTGTCTCCAATATTCATTTTAAATCGACTGATCACAAACGCATAATTTGTTCAACTGCAAAAAAACATAGATCACCTCGATGATCGTGTTATGTTAATTTGTAATTTGTAATTCAAATCTTTTTCATACTTTGCTTTAGACTACTTTTCACAAAAATTTAATGGTTTTAATGGTTTTTATCATATTTATGGGGAGAATAGCCGAGTGGATAGTGACTCCAACTATCGTGTTGAAAGGTTCGGCTTCTGCTCCCGATAGAAATAAATTTGTGATTAAAAAATCCAGACAATACTAGAGATCCACCCACCTTACTTCTGTCGTTGCCTAGCAAAAATTGCTAACCGTAATATCAACCAAGGGAACTAGCCTAACCAGAACTGGTGAATGCTAACCACTTAATGTGGTTTTATTGATGAAAAAATAAAAACAATGTCCAATCAATAGAATTGCTTTAAAAGTGGTAACTTCTGAAAGGTTAACGACAACACACTGATGTTCAGAGATATATTAAATCTGGCAGATATGAAATTTCTCTTGGTTGTTTTCTATTCTCAAGGCAACAAGATCTCGGTACTACAACCGTGAAACAAGATTGATTTATCAGTCCGAGTTTCTCACTAACAACTGTATCACTCAAAGACCACTCCATACTTTATTCCTGATTTATATATCAGAAACAAATCTAGTCGAATGCCTTTAAGTTGCTTTCTTATTTAGTAATGTTATCAAAAACTGGCAAATATGAAAAGATAATAAATGATTATATAGATAATAATAATTATCAGTAAAAGCAAATTCTAAGAGGTGGATCATTTGCACTTGTATTCTTTACTAACTTCCTGGCAAAAAAATTTCATCCGAATAGCCAGTAGAGTTAGGCGAAACCAAAATGGTGAGTGGTGTTAAAAGAATGAAAGGAATCATGAATGAAGACAGAAAATCTACATTTTTTTCCAGCGTTTCGTGAGAAAGGATGGATAAAGAAGGAAGAATCTCTCAGTCCTTTTAAAACTTCTTTTCATAACAAAGCAGATGGAGTGGAATTTTAGCAAAAAGAGTTGTAAAAAGAAGAATCAGTTTTTTATGTATTTTTATCACTATTCCTCTCAAGAATCAGTGGTGGGAGCTAAATCAGAAGTGGCTAAAGGTAAACACTTAATGAATACGAAATGATTTTATTCGTGATAATAGAACTGTTATTAATAATTCATTTATGTTACTAAGTGGTTAGCGCACATTATTTCTGGTTAATACACTGGCTCCGCTAGTTGCTAGCATAGTTATAAATTTTTGCCGCGATAGAACTATATGTGGGTCGCCTAAACAACACGGACTTTCACAAAAAAAAGGAAAATTTCAGATTTTGCAATTTTTGCCAAAATATTCGATGAATAGTGCTCCAATTCGAAACATTCTTCAACAGTTTGATTCAAACTTTTTGTCGCTTCAGGTGGTTTGTTTCACCTCAATTTCTCCGAAGAACAACAAGAATAAGCCAGTAATTGCAATTAATTGAGTGTCACTAATTTTGCATTTCATAATATTTGGGTACAGTGCAAATATTTCTATATTGCCAGCTCTTAACGGATATTTTTGATTAAAATAGCACCATAGCACTAACAATTAGCACTGCACTTTACAATTCGCTACCGACTAATCGAGCTAAAAATTTCATCCCTTCAATTGAACAAGTTTTTACAAACGTTAATTTCCCTTAACCAGTTGCTCACAAAAGACTTTTACTGCATTATTACCATCGATCTTATGTTCCATAAATTTGAACTTTTTCATAGCACGTCTCTGGGTTAAAGAAGAATGCATTCGTTTAATCCATATTTCGTGACCTTGTACCCAGTCAATTTAACCGCGTGGACGCCTCATTATTAATTAATTAATTAATTTCGCCAAACACCTCACAAAATTTAAACCTCACATCCATAACTTATAACTCATCATTGCTTTTTTATTATTAATCTATCTCATCATTTGGATACATATATATATATATATATATATATATAATTAAAAGGAGAATGTTGCATATTTATTTTTACTCCTAAATGAAAGCAATTGAGGTAAAACTTAATAGGCAATTGAGGCAAATGAATGGTGCTAATTCACTTATGTTAGTTACACATGAAAAATTTGGCCAGCTTACCATTTAGCAGCCATGACAATATCGTGTTTCTACTCAGTTCAACGGTATAATAAATATAACAAATATTTAGTTTAAATCATTCACATTTTTGCAATTTCGAGCTTATCCTTTTCCTGGTTTTAAATCATCTAAGCAAATTCATTCAATCGTAAACTTCAAACGATATAGAAAATATTTTAAATTTTAAGACGAGGAAATTCGATAAATAATTTTCTTCAATGGCTTTGAAGAGATTTGCAAATACTTTGATCAGTTGTTCAGTTATTTCTATAATTTGCTAGAAAAATTGTTTGAGAATCATGTTGAGAATTATCATTCAATATTGGAAAATCATTCAGTTCGTTTACTTCTCAAATTCTTCTTCTTCTAAAAGCTCTCATCATTAGTTAGGCTGGCTTCGCTGGCTACAAGGGTGAAACGCCTTCAAGCCGCTCGGCCCGACGCTATCGCTAGTAATGATAGAAGCCATTCCTTTTACCATCGTCTAAATCCATATATTGCTGGTCCCTCTATAAGTTCGAAATCTTTCCTGTATCAGCCCAGGTCTTGACTGGCCCTCTTCGCATTTTACGCCAACCATCACAGAGTTAGCAAGTAACGAAATATGCGTCAACTCCTGTGGTGGAAGAAGAAGAACGTGCCTTAACCAGCGAAGGTGATAATTATTAATACAGGTGAGATCTGAGCGAAGATGGGTACAATCATGTCCATTCGAGGGATCCGTAAAATTTACCTTAGACATGAGTGGTCAAAGGCTAATAGCTTTTTAATATTTTCCACTCTCATTGGCCATGTTTCGCAGCCATATAGCAAGATCGCCAATTGCAGCTATATGGATGTGGATTTCGCCTTTATGGTGATTTCGTGACGATTCCATAAAGATTTCCTAAATAGGAAAAACATATTTTTAGCTGTTGTTATCCTCTACAATTTTTTTGTTACAATTTCATCCTTCGCCAGGCCATTTGGGATTAGAGCAGATCCATGGTTTTTAAAGTCCAACACTTCCTTAACTGACAATGAATTGATAAAAATAGGTATTTTATCAGCATTTTGTAAATAAGAAGAAAACACTTTCGTTTTATTTACGTTGATTTTGAGCACAATTCTCGCTGCAGCTTCTGATTCGGTGGTGATAAATCCAAATTTCATACTTCACTCAGGAGTTCAGTTAGTTAGTTTTGTTATTGCTGGTTGCACGCTTTTCGCTTGCCGTCATGTTCCCGGGTCGTGGCACCGAAAATTTTCTCGGAAAAAGAATGTACTCCTGCGATCGTAAATTGAAATATTTATTTAAAAAAAATTCAATAGGTTCGAATATATTCAAGGCGAATAGTTAATATAAAAAAGGGTGATGAAGTAAGGTGAAGGCGATTCTTGATATTGCCAATCCAACACTGAAAAGTCCTTCTTTGCCAATCTGGGTGGTTCCTCCAAAACATTGGTTGATCAAAAATTACATAAAAATTAATTTATTTTTATTATATTTTATTATAATAATTTATTAAAAAGAAAATTTTCTCATGGTTTTTTTTTGATATGCAAACAAGATGGCTTTACAAAGTTGCTAACAGATGCGTGAACAAAGAATGAAGAAAAATAATTTTGTGCAATTTGCATATTATTGATTGTTTATGATGTGGAAAGCTTTGTTAAAATCTTGTTAATCCTCTTTTTTTTTGAATATTAAAAAGCTTTATGAATTTTACCGTATTACTATCATTTTATTTTATTTTATTTCTTCCCTTCAGTTGTTTCCGACAGAATGGACGAGTCAACATCTCTTTCATTTTTTGTATATAATATCATCCATGTAGAGAATATGGCTGATGGTAATCCTACTCTTGAATTTGTATCCATATCTACTTCTGGTGATTATATGACTGAGAAGCAGAAGAATAGGGGAGACAGTTCATCGTCTTGGTATGTGTCGCACTTGATAGCCATTTGTATAAGCTGTTTCGAGTCAAGTTTTCTATCATCCCATTGAACTCTCAATGAACGTTTTTAGGGTCCTGTTGACTTGTATAGAACCATACTTTTACAGATCCTTGTGAGAAGCATTGAGTCGTAGGTTTTTCTGTTGTTAATCCAAGTTGTATAGATTGGTCTGCCGAGATTTTTAATCTTTAGCGACTGCCTTATCTGTGAGCAGCTGGTGTTTGGAGCCTCTTTTGTTGTTTCCAATGCCTTTTTGAACTGCACTCATATATTGGCTTGTGCTCAAAAATGAGCAGAATCGATAAATCGATTGAGGTCTAATCAAAGCGTGGCTGTGGCCGCGACTTATCGATTCTTCTTCTTTTTGGGCAGAATTTTATTCGATTTTTATGTGGGTTATGTTAGGTTGAGGGTAGTTTAGCAATTTTATTGATTTGCTTGTAGTTTCTTTAATCGTTATCTAATTTTATTGCTATAATCATATTGTTATCGAAATAAAGGTTTAATTACCCAACTTTGGGGTATACGTGGAGTGATAATTACGGTACTATAACGGAAAAAGAGCTCGATTCTTTTTTTTTAATGGCTCATATGGTCATGAACCATGATGGCTATGATGCCTGACAGGGCTTTCCACATTGTAGGTGGGCAGACTATTGGTCGGTAGTTGGAAAGAATTGTTCCTATGTAAATTTTTCATGGTCAATACCGTTCTTCCTTGTGTCAATCTCAATTTGGATAAGAGCCTGCCACAAGTAACTGGTTCACCTATGTCAGACGCTCATGAACTACTGTTAACTTCTTTAGCCAGTAGGTGTGAATCTTGCCCGGACTAGGTGCTATCCAACTTTTCATATTTTTGAGTTGCTGTTAGATACCAGTGGTGGTAATTGGTTCCTGTTCTGGGAGGTTATTGTGATTTGTTCTTACATCTTGCAACCATTTTGCATTGATATTATGAATCTTCTGTTTCCATATAATCTTCCAGTGTTGTATAGTTTCTGCTCTTGATGGCTCAGTTGTTACCATATTACTGCACTAAAATTGAGAATACTTCTTAGATGGTTCCTTGGAGAACAGGGCATTTATCTTTTTAGCCTCTTCTTCTCTAACGTACCTCCTTGGCCTGATGGCCAGTGCTCTAAGCTTTTGTTTAGCAATCTCGAGGGCTTCTGGTGAAGTGTAGCTATTGTATTTTCCCAGCATCCGGTTACTATTTTAAATCCTCACATCTTTCTGTAAATCTGTCAGTTGGTTAATTTTTCTGCGTTGACCCTCTGATCTTATTTTCCATCCTTTTCCATGGGCGAATTGCATTGTTATTCTTCATTTTATACTCCACCATTTCGAGGATTACAGTGGCTATGGGAATAGTGGCAGTAGGAATTGTTACGAGGGCTCTATTTCCATTTTCGATTATGTTATCTGGTGGTGATGCATCACCGATCTTCGTTAGTCGATGATTGATTACAGTCATTTTGCCATTTTATTCTTGATTTTCTGCCTCATGTAAGCTGTTTTACTTTACAACAGAGATATTGGAAGGCAGTTTCCAGCTTCCCAACTTGTTGAGTACATATCTCTTCTTTCTTCTTATTTTATTTTGGGTCTGGGGCGTAGAGCAAAATTTATCCATCTCCAACCGCTAAAAAAAGCAGTTTCCTCTTTCTCACATTGAAGCATTGAGCCACTGTTTCTTAATAGATATCGACGTAGGTCTTTTTTCCATTACATTGCCATCATGTTTTTATTATTGCTCCTTTGATTAGGCCCACTATTATAGTAGCATTCCATCAGTTCCAGATTATCTTATCTCCTATATGTATGGTTTATTTCGATATCCTTATTCTTGTAGTCCAGTAGCTATAAACTGTTCTGGTTCTCTCTGGTCGACGCTGTTTTAGTATCTCATTTATTAGATAACCCTGGTTTCTCAACCTCTGACACGTACCTTGTTAATCCTATCGATCTCTGAATCGGCATGACTGTGGTACTCTTATATTGATACTATTATTCTCATAAGGAAGACAAGCATTAAGGGAGCCTTGTCCAAGGACCCCACCGGAAAGATGGAGGCTTTGGTTGCAATTTAAACTAAGGTTATTTTTTACTCTTTGTTGCTCGCCTTTCATCACTACACTAAACTGGAGCACGATTTATATAAATTATTTTTCTTGTTATGGTATCGTCAATCCAAATCTTTTTTAGACGAAAATCTCGATTAGGAAAAATTGTCATTAACATTATTAATAATAGTTTTCTCTAGGCCACTCTTTAAATATTCATTATTGCAGGCTGTACTTTATGGTTTTACGATTTGTGGTATGGTGACTTTTTCTGTTTGAATTAGATTAGGATTTGGTAAGAATTTTTTTGCTATAAAATATGGAAAAAAAGGATCGTTCATTGTTGTGATTGTCATTCTTGTTTTAGCTGCAATTGTTGAGTACTAGACCAGAAACTCATCCTTGAAGTTTTTGGTGGGTCATGTATGGTGCGAAATAAATTCCATCAATTTTGATTTAAAGAAATTTGGATGAATTACAACTTTATGAATTCATTTGTTTGTGAGGTATCAGTTTAATAGGCAAAATGGTTTTATAGAGGATAATAAATATTATCTGAACTGGAAATAGAGTTTTATTGTCTGTTTCATCAACAGCCATTAAATTTAGCTGCAATACAAGTTTTCAGAGCCACCGAATTGTGCATTTTGTGCACTTAATTTTGTGTCGGTTTCACTGTGGTCTTTTGAGTCCATTTGAGTAATTTAAAATTTGATTAATTCTTGATATTCTTTTAGTGTGAAAATTTTGATGTGGTCTATTTTGCAATTAGGATAAAAATTAAGCTGAAATAGGCAACCTATAATTTGAAAGATATGTACATTGTTTTTTCCTTTAGGAGGTTTTTTTATAAACCTAATTATTTAATTACTGTGGCGATGGTAATGGAATTTCTTAGAATATCTTATTACTATATCATTATTATATTGTCTGTTACAACCTATGTTTTTCTAAATAAAAATCATAAATGAAAACGGGCTTTACAGTTGTGATTTGATATAGCAGACAATATTGTCGTGAGTTGCTTCCGCTAAAGTCAAGCATTGAGGTCGATCTCGATCCTTTTCTTGTTGGGTCCAGATGGCGTTAGGTACCTATTTATAGTTCTCTCTGGTGAAAAGATTTCAATTGGTCAAAGCAGAAATATTGAGCGTTATTAGAAGATAATGGTGAACATTAACAAATTGATGAAAAACCATGAATTTGCAGGATAAATAAATTCGTTTTTTTGGAATATATAAGGTTCAATGCGGTGAGAAAAATTAGAAAAAAATTGCTGGATAAATTGAGATAACGTGTAGCAAACGATTTGTGGTCAATAGCATTACAGCGGAGTTGTTTAAACGATGTAGTTGCGAGCATAGGAGTTCGTTCGGAGAATAATTGCGATATAATAATTGCGATATTTCTTTCTAGGTTGTGTAATTAATGAAAATTTACTGCATAAACATTCCTAAATTTCAGCGAAAATATTTCTTTTATAATATTTATTGAACTAATTCCTTTCAATTTTTAATTGATATAATTAGAGTTAGTGATTAGGTGAAAGATTTTCAAAATTCAAATTATGAGGTTTAAAAAATCGAAATGAAAAAAATGTTCTTATATGGCCAAGGTCACTCAGAAATAGAAGAGATTAATCCCTAACAGAATCGGGATTTTTTAATGACAAGTTTACTACTAGCAATTGCTTTATAACAATTTACTCTACCAGCTGGTAGGAGCTGTTTTTTCTTATTTTGAGTCCTCACCAGTACTGATTAAACTCCCCTCTACGGCTTGTGCATAGGACAGATATGCCAGGGAGTTCCTTGGCGATAGAATTATTGGTGAATCGCCAGCCCGGATTTTTGGACATGTTTACTCCTGCGAGGAACAGAACCTCAGCATCGGCCCTCCGAATTGAGGAATAACCCACCGATAACAATTTACTCCAGCTGGTGGGAGCTGAGTAAGTTAGAAGAAGATGAAGCAATAAGATGGTTTTTTTGCCAGTCTTATAAATGATTAGCGATTGGCGATTCATTTTGCCATGAGACGATGAGACATTTGCTTGCGAATGTAGAGTTTTTGATCGTACAGTTGCATTAATTTATTATCTACAAAAAAGTACAAGTGAAATTTCCCATTTGAATAATTTCGATTTTTATTATTTCCCTTTTTTCAATTAGAAGTCTCAGAAACATGGTTAAATGAATTATAATAAATAAAATACGATAAAAATGAGCTATTCTATTCTTAAAATGATGACCTTGAATCTAGGCAAACAATCAATTGGTATCGCAATTTTATCGCTGAACTCCATTAATTTCATTCCACAATTGTCATTTTCACATATCTGACACTATATGCTCGTTTTCTCTTCAAAAAAAAAATTTCCTGGATAATTCTTCAATATCTGAATATTTAAAACATTTGGTCAATTTTTTCACACTTTTACTTCTATAAGTTAAAAAGTAGTTCGTCTGCTTTTTCACTTTATTCATTCTCCATTTCTTATCTTTTTTGGAACTTTTCTTCTTGTTTTACCATTTTCATATCTTTTTTTTCACTTTTAATTTAATATTTTTATAATACTTTTTATAACATTTTATAAATATTGTATTATAAAATATTTTTATATTTTAATATAATATTTTTATAGATTTATATGAGAAGAACCTCGAGGGGATAAACTTTTATATATCTATAGAAGAATGGTTCTATTAATTTTTTATCAGTTTATATGCTTCCTTCTTAGCAAATATGCAGTTTGATTTTTTGGTTTTGAAACCTATGGTCTATATTTATCATTCAACTTATATCAAACTATAAATTTATTTCGTTGAAATTAAGTATGAAAGAATGAAGGCAAAAGGTCTGATGAAAACTTCGCTCTATTGTTGAAATCGATTTGATTAGGACGAATTTTGAAATTTTTTCCCCACAGTATTCAACTATGCGATAGACTGGATAATGGGCATCGCTTGTCGGCACTCAGTCAAGAGGTGTGCGAATCAGTCTAGAGCATCGTATCATAGACCTTGAATACGCTGTTGATGTGGTCCTTTTTGCTGATAATTAATAATGCTAAATAACGTGTCAACAACTGCAGCGAGAATTGGGCTCAAAATCAACGTAAATAAAACGAAAGTGTTTTCTTCTTATTTACAAAATGCTGATAAAATACCTATTTTTATCAATTCATTGTCAGTTAAGGAAGTGTTGGACTTTAAAAACCATGGATCTGCTCTAATCCCAAATGGCCTGGCGAAGGATGAAATTGTAACAAAAAAATTGTAGAGGATAACAACAGCTAAAAATATGTTTTTCCTATTTAGGAAATCTTTATGGAATCGTCACGAAATCACCATAAAGGCGAAATCCACATCCATATAGCTGCAATTGGCGATCTTGCTATATGGCTGCGAAACATGGCCAATGAGAGTGGAAAATATTAAAAAGCTATTAGCCTTTGACCACTCATGTCTAAGGTAAATTTTACGGATCCCTCGAATGGACATGATTGTACCCATCTTCGCTCAGATCTCACCTGTATTAATAATTATCACCTTCGCT